AAAAACCGATCTATTTTTAAAATTACAAGACAGCAAAACCTTTCATATTCAAAATTCGGTTATCACCTCTCTTTAACTAACAACTTAATGAAATATACTTTTGCAAATAAATATAACTAAGTTGCAATTAGAACGAGGTACACCTGTATCAAAGGCGTTACTATGAATAGATGTCGTCTGGTAGTTAAATCACGAGAAATAGACTGAAGTCAAATAAACCATTATTAAGAAATTAAGTATTCTTTCAAGAGTCAACATTGACGTAAAATGTATATAATTGAAAAGAGAACGAGCAATTAGTTTTGTTTGTTAAGGAACACTGTTGGCTTTTCTATGATTATAACCTGGCGAACACAAAGCAAATGAAACAAAGGATAATAAAAATGGCACGAGTCTTTTTGCGGAGCTAAAACTTCTTTATGCGAATTCAGCATGAATTACTAAGAACAACATCAAAGCGAATATTTGAAAGCTTTATATGATATTCGAGCCAAATAAAAAATTCATGGAAAATCTCTCCTCACAATATCATTGAGTAGCAGACAGAATACGTTGCTACAGCACACCCCAAGTTATGTTTATTGGTTCAAAGCTTCCATCCAGCTCGACTCATCGGGCGTATTTCGTTTTCCAAATACCACGTACCACTTTTCTCGGTCAACCTTTCTAGTGTTTTTTTTTTCAACTCTCGCTTGCAGAAGATATAAAGCGAAATAAAGCACGTTGTAATTTTCGTCAAAAGCCTACTTATGATACTTTGAGCTTACACACTCTGCCCCAAGAAGTAAAAGATAACCAGCCTGTCTCTTTAGCATGTAGGGTTGTACCAAATTCATTTCTAGTATACATGGCAGTAGAGGACAGACCTAAATCCTCTGCAATCTAGTTCTCCTGCTTTAAACAGAGGACACCTTAAGTTACCTCTTGCACCTTCAAATTCCCACTTCCACTCAAGCTATAAGCAACTAGTACTGAAAAGTCGATGACAGCCTAATTAACGATGTGTGCTCTTCCTAGATCTAAAAAACCGCCTTCGATACCGTTGACTACAGCATATTGTTTAAAAAACTGCTACCTAATGCTCTTGACGCGCATGCAGTTCAGCGGTCCAAATCGTACGTATCAAATCGCTCTTAGAGCATTATGTCATTGGAACTCTGTCGGACTACCTTCATATCAGCAGTGGGGTCCCACAAGGATCTGTACTTGGACCCTTGTTGTTTCTCATTTTAGTAAATGACCTTCAAAGAACGCGAGCTATCATCATCTCTTGAAGAAAAGTTACATCAAGACTTAGATGAGGTTCAAAAGTGGCTGCAATCCAATAAACTCACGTTAAGTGTCAAATAGACACAATATGTAATTGTTGGAAGCCACTACTAAGGTATTAAAATGAGGTACTTAAACGTTACTGTTAATAGCCAGCAATAGACTCGGGCGACTACCTACAAATATTATACAATTATTGGATTAGGTTTTTGTGATATCCGTAATAATCAAGGTCGAGGTAAGTGTTATCAGCCAAGCCGAAGGCCGAGGCTGATAACACTTACCGAGACCTTGATTATATAGGATATCACAAAAACCGAATCTAATAATTGTTTTGTGATACATTGATTTGAAGAAAATAACGACAAACACACAGTCGCAAGGAACCTGAATTGATATTGAAAAATCATGCATTGCGAGCGCAACTTACAAATTAGTCAATTATCTGCCAGCAGATACCTAACTAATCTGTAGTTTGCGCTGATTTCCAAAATTAGCTTTAGGCTCTTAACCAATGAGAAGACAGATAGTAGGTACAATGTATAACAACTGGGAGCAGAGATTGACCAGGCATTGGGGAGGTATTCCCAAGAAAATGCCACCTGTAAAAAGGTATATGCAGGTCTCGGAGCCTTAAAACGTATTCGTCCCCTGGTGCCTGGCAACACCCTGCTGAGAATGTATGACGCCTTGGTCCTTCCATACTTTATTGTTCCAAGCTTTGGGGATGCATGGGGGTGCCTGCGTGACAAACTCCAGAGATTGCAAAAACAGGGCCGGGAGAATTATAACAGTTAGTGATAATAATGCAAGATCTGTAGATATTCTCCAAGACCTAGGATAGGATACCTTTGAGCAAAGACGCTCTAAGCAACTTGCAATTAGTGTATTCAAATATCTAAATAATCTATCTCCAGAGGCTTTAAAAACGAACCTCCAGCGTTCATTCCTATAACGTGCGAGGCTCCTCAAACAATATTTTTGTACCTAGGCCCCGCACTGAAGCTGCTAAGCGGTCTTTTAGCTATAGGGGCGCGGTCATGTGGAATGGCCAAGAAATCGACCTTAAATGCAGAAACCGGAAACGGGCTTTGAGAAAGTCTAATAATGAGACAAATCTGAAATCTTAAAAGTCTGTTCTGACTTTGTCTTGAACTGGAGCTGGAGACTGACTTGAGGTAGTATATGTATATTTTTAGCTTAAGTGTAGTTTTTCTTAAAAATTTGGAAGAGCATTTTTAATGACGTGACACCGTTAATAAAGCTTCATTGTAGTTGTTGTCGTTTAGATGTACCGTTCTGTCTCCAGCTGTCTTCAGGGTCACGTATATCAACCTGCTCGTCTCTTGAGTTTCAAACATAGCAATTGGGTCCCATGGCCCAAACGAGTAACTATTATAATCTTATTTTTTATCAAAGTCAACCCCTGAGCCATTAAAGAAATTAACCGTTGATCCTTCTTCTCTTCTTCCTTCAGAAATCTGCAATACTCCTATAGGTGTCATCCAGGACGAATACCCTTCAAAATGGCAGAGGATATTCCGTTTTTCCCATTCTAGACCGAACAACCAGAGTTTCGAGCCAAAATTTTCTCTTGGACCATTCCGTAGCATACTGTTATGGGAGCTTAGCCATTTCAAGTCCAAACGAAAACTTAAGTTACATCTCATAACGCTCTTCTCAAACTCTCTGACTGGAAACTTCTTGGGATGAAATGGGAAAGGCTACATCTTTCTCGATGCGTCTTCCCGTTTGGTTTTCATAGTGCAGCCTTCTTCGTCTACCCATTAACGTTATAGGCGGACTACCCTTCTCCATAACAGTTATAAGCGCGCCAAATGCCCTTTTTATAATCAGAATAGTACAAACAATAGATGCAATGGGAATACCTTATGCCTGAGAAGCAATGGTAGCAACCTCACACTAAACATCGAAGTGAATTTAAGGAAGCGGTGGTGACCTAATCGCAGATGCGTCCTTAAAAAACTCTGGAGCAGACAAAAAGAATTCCTCACAGTGCTTATCAAAAGAAGAGGATACTATTTACTGAATTAGGCGGTAAACAAAGCAAATGGCGTAGGCCGATAACTGCCCTTTTTAAGTCACCGAGTTTGTCTACTGACATTGAATTAACCTTGGGAAGAAAATGTATGTTGCTCGCGGACAAAGGAGTCTGTTGCAAAAACTCATGTGTTGCTTTATCATACAACGTCATAATACAGAATAAGCGATTCAAAACCTTAACAATCAAGCAGAAACATTTATTGCTTAGAATAACTGGTTTGACAACAAATTAAGTTAAATTTCTAAACGATAACTTTCTTTAATACCACAGAAGACACCTATTCCCGATTTAAAACCTTCAATTGGAGGTCATCAAATATTAAAAGCTGTTTGGTTACAATAAAACTTGGTGAAAATTTTCTACATAACAACCAACAGGACCTTGAAGTTAAACACAAATTATAAAGTACAGTAGTTGATTACAGACAGTGGCAGCAGTTTTAAATCTGCAGGGAGATTTCGTAAAAACCGCAGGAAAAAACTTGCCAAGAAGGATTCAATAGATGCTTATATGTGGGATTAGTACAGACAATAATTTTTTGAATGTCATCTATCTGAGATTCAAGGCTGCAGCTCTTTAACAAAGTGTACATTTCCCACTTACAGTGGAAATCCGTCTTACGGCCACCTCGTTCAATCAATCCGGCAAATCGACCACACATTTTTTTGTACAAAAACAAAAAAAAACCTTGTCAATACGGTCAACCCTTAATACGGCCAAACGTTTTTGGCCCATCGGTGACTGTATTAACGGGGTTCCAGTGTATCTATGTTTTTTAGTTAAAACTACCAAAAAAATATAAAAGTACCAAAGTAGACTATCGCTAAATGATACAATTACAAACATTATGGCATTAAAAACCAACAACTTCATGCATTGGAAAAAGATGAAAAAGAGCTTTTTACTTATCGACGTTTAGCCATTTACATTGAAACGAACCCAACTGGATGCAAAGAAGCTACGAAATGTGAACTCATGTCATCTTTTTCAACTGGCTTACGAGCACACTCACTAAAACACATACCCAGCTGAGTTTGTTGCACTGTAAACGCGTGGTGAACATTTCCATTGTATTTTCTTGAACCCCCTTGAGTTGGCTTCGTCTTTCCCAAGCACCCTTGTAGTCTCTTGATAAAGGATCTACTTACAGGGAGGTACTGACACGGCTATCTACTTGTACTCTGTTAATGGGCTACTTAGTAAGGGTTAGCCACTTAAAAGAAGAGCCGTTTAATAGAGGTTCGACAGCATTTCGCTTTGGTTCAACTCGGGTATTCCACGTTAACAGATGTTAAAACGCCACACCGACTTGTTAAGTTAACACCCAAGGAAAAATGCATACCTAACAGTTTGTTTTCAATGGACTTAACCACATCAATACATTACATTAACACGACGCACTTAACATTCTTTTTGCTTAAGGTATAGGGTAAACGGGCAACAAAGACGAGTAACTTGTTTTGCAACACTGCCGCAAAATGAGTTATTTGAAAAGCGATGTTGCGCATCATGCCCACAGTCAAACCTGTCTTGCAACAAATCAGGTTGTTGCAGGTTACGAAAAGTTGTTGCAGCAACTAAAGACCAAAATCTACATATGTTGCGCGTTTTCCCGGCTCAAGGCAATCTTGCGTTGCAGCATGTGACAACTCCCGTGTATGGCATGATTCTCGCGTACTTTTATCCAATCAGAAGTTGGTATCCACGCAACTTGCAGCAACCTTTATTTGTTGCAAGTCAGGTTTAAATATGGGTTGTAAAACGTACTACATCGCACTGCAGCAATGTTGCAAAACGATTCGCGCGTTTTTGTTGCCCGTTTTACGTAGCTTTACAGTAAAATGCACTACTCATTAAAACAAAAGCAGATAATTCATATTAAGGAAAGGAGCCTGCACTCGTCCTCTCAAAGGAGCCTCTTATATAACCCATACAAACAATTGCTGTGATAGGAAACCAGACACTGGCAATTTTTAAGAAGCAACTTTGAACCGTACGTACATAATCAAGTATCTCTCGTTACAGTTTTGTTTGAATTGTATTGCGTCTACAATTGTGTCTACAATCAACATATCTTAATATTCCATTCTGGACAGCCAGATGACCATACAAACTTCAAAAAAATACACTGTATATTTCAAAACCGACATTGACGTTATCCGAAATTGAAGCATTTCTATCAGCTTCATCTTTTTCGAAAAAAAATCTTAATGGTAAAAACAAAGACCGGGTTTACACGCAAATTTTCAACAAGGCACAGGCAATGTCCCTATCAGTATAAATAACAATTATTCATAGTAAGCGAAATGCCTGAAATAAATTACAACATAAGGCTGAAACTTTCCGACAGACCCAAATGTTGTTTATGCCAAATTAAAAAAGCTACCTCTGTCCTTCTCATAATCAAGTGTATCGAACTGAATATGGATAGTCAATCCTGCGGCTCGTTATTATGTATTTATTTCTTCTAATCATCCTCCATGTTTATGTCGTCATTCTCATCCTCGTCCTCATCTATGTTAAGAATAGGAGGAGCCCTGGTGAAGACTTTTCGGAGCGCCTTGTTGTGACTGTGGACGATTCGTATCACTTGATAGCCAATCACACCACTGACCTTCAGAGCATGGCAGAACGATTTAGTACTTCCTCTGATCCCCCAATAAAGGGAATCGCGTTTGCTTTCATCATTAACTTGAAATTCTTCGTCACTGAAAAGCACTTCATCAGTAACATAATTTCTTCCCTTCAGGGCTGGGGCGTTATGCAGAACCACTTGGTATCGTTGCTCACTACACATATAGTCAGCTTTTGGATACTTGCTCATGTAGTCATACCGTCTGCTTGATTCGTGAGCGAGGGACACGCCCGCTATGTGGTTGACAGTGTCTTCGAAGAGTCTTTTTCTGCATTCCGAAACAAATTGGCGTTCGTAATCAATCATTTTCTTTTCTTTTACAGGATCACCACCACAGACTTTTGCTGCCTCAACAAATGGCGAATGCAAAAGGCTTGGATTTCTTTGCACCTCCAAAAAAGAGCTGTCATTAATAAGAAGTGTGTTGGCACTACGCTTTATTCGTTTGGTCCACTGTTCCCAACCCCTGGTTGCATCTTCGTACACGTCATGCCTTTCGTCGTCGCTCAGATATTTGGCTGTCTTCTCTAAACAGGTCTGAAACACTCGCTGTCCAAACAGAAGTCCCCTGGTGATTGAGCACTTGTACCACCTGCGGCTGTTCCCGTCAAATTGATACATAAACTGAATATCGTCGTCAATAGTCCAGTACAGTGAAAATCTGAAGCACTCTGCGAGGCTTTTAATAACTGCCCTCGTGACACCAATTCCTCGTCCTCTCTGTGGCAAAACAACGTACATCAGATTAACGTTGTTCACAGAAGGCCGCCGAAGTCCTTCCATTGTGGCTTGAACAGTTTCTAAGTGATGTGGCTCCACAACCAGAAAAATGTTAAGAACAGAACTACCATTTTGTGCTCTAAACTCTTCACCGACCATATTTTGGTCTTCGTCCTCTAATCTGTCATTCGATTGAGAATATTTACTCCATGGATCTTCCTCAAGAAAGTAGTTTCCTATGATCTCTGGTGTTGGACCAGGCCGTATTGTTGGAATGAAAATCGGTGCGAGGCTTTGCGAAGGATCTTTAAAACCTTTGCTAATTGCATCAAGCTTGGCAGTCATCAGGGGAGAGAAAAGAACTTCCAAACAGTACTTTTCTTGCGCGCTCTTCCTCAAACGAATGACATCGTCAGAAAGGGAAGGTTCTTGTACTACTCTACAGGTTACACCGGACGTCTGATAAGCAGACACATGTTTTCGAGCCAGCGCAAAAAGGTTTCCCACTTCTGCAACATGATGGTCAACAAGGACACAATTTTCAAGTGGGATATTAAAATGATCCTTGTCACTGAGAACATTAATCAACACCTTCGCCCACAGACGATGATCCACATTGTCTGGAAGTCCCAAGCCACCTTTGCCCAAATTCAACTTCGTCTCCAGTTTTCGAATGGCATCAGCCGCTGCCTTTGCAGTAGACTTGCGAAGGAGATCTTTCACCTCTTTAACGATTTTCTCATGACCAGATTGTAAGGGTACGATGCTGTTTTCGTCTTTATCTACCATTTTCTCAGGCAGTGAGATATCTTTCTGAATATCTAAGGACGGATGGGGATTTATCTCACGGATGGTTTTGTGGCAAAATTCAATTACTTTCTGTAGATGTTTATACAGTATCTCTAAAAGAGCAGGTCTACAAGCATCAACATCAAGAGATCGCACTGCAAGCAAATCTTTCACATCTTGTTTAAGTTGTTCTGTTAAGATGAAATGCGACTTCTTTTGCTGTCGTCTGCCACCAGTTTCTTTCTCAAGGAATTCATAGGTGCGTTTCAGGAGAATAAAAAGGAAGTTTTTGAGCAGATCTTTTTTTCCTTCACCATTAGCTTTTGACCAAGCAGTCTTTTGTCTTCCGCTAAAGGGGTTTCGATCTTTCCCCTTGTTTACAACATCTCGTAGGTAGGCTGAAGCACTGTTAGAAAAGAATTGCTGCACTCGGCTCTCGCACAAGATCTCCACGACTTCTATGAGATCTGATGGGGCTTCCTGGGATGTTGACCAGATGGCATTCCTAAAGGTGTAAATCAGTCGATTAGTGAAGGTTTCGAGTGATCGTCTTAGCAAATTTGAAAGGAAACGCGACGTTTCATCTGAACACATGAAATTGTCGTGCAAGAATCTAAAAAGGCTGTCACTACCTAAATCCAAAGGCAGTTCCGTTTGAGTTAGGAAAGATGTCACGAGATCGCTTGCCTCATTCTCGTCTGGCTGTATTTCACAAATCACCCCTCCTTCTTTGATGGCAATGGCTTTATTCTTCCTTTTTTCTGTAGTCAAGTTCCGACCAATTCGACTTTTGAGCTTTTTTGCAGCTAGGTGGACTTTCTGCAAAAATGGATGGACTGCTTGTTTTATCATAACATGCTCAACATGCTGTTTAACAACTTCTTTTAACTTCTTAAAAAGGCTACAGTGCTCAGCTGGATTAAAATACACCACCTCACTTTCATTCCGCAATTTTTCCAAAACGGCCTCTCCACTAAGCTGAGGAACCTTTCCTCTTTCGTCTTCATAAGTGCTACATTCGAGAAACAGGTCCCACGCATTTGAGAGATCCTCCTCTTTCTTTTGCAGCAAAAGATCTATGTTGCCTGATGACGTGCTGGTGGGAACTCTCCTGTCATTGACTACATGAACCAGTTTCGGTCTACGGGTAAATTCAAACTCGTCATGTTTTCGAAAAATTGCTGCGATGTCTTCAGCTGACACTGGCCTTCCTGACAGTTGGCTTTGACTGTCGAAAAACAACACCACATCAGCTTTACTTAGCTCCACACTTATCGAATCATTGCCAGTTTCAGCGCCGTACCCAGGAACGTCTACGAACTCTACATCAACCTCTAATTCTAATTGCCCCGAGCTTGTCATCGTCCTGTTTTTCAGCCCATGGAAAACTGGAAATGGTCCTTGAAGCTCAACACGCACTTCGTCTTTTACGTTTGAATCGTGCGAGTTTCCGTCTTGATCTAATTCTTGGAATTTTCTTCTTAGCAAATCTCGTACGTCTTCCAAGGTCTTCTTCTCCAGGTTTGCTTCTGGGAACCAAATTTCAGGACTAACACCTTTCTTTTTCGTGTGTAACAAAACTTTAACTCTTTTTCCGTATTTAACATATATCGGAAGTGGTGTCTGGCTACCTCCTTCTGCGGAAGGAAGAGGCCCATTTGCCACTTGTTGATCAGCGCGTAAACCCCAGTTTAAAAGAAAATTGAGAAAAAAACTTTTACCAACCCCTTGGTTCCCAAACACAGCAAGTGATAAACATATCTTACTTTCCGTTACCAGTGTACTATGAAAACTGTCAATACTTTCTCGAATAAATTTCTTGACGGTCTCTGACCTTGAGGGTTTCTTCTTGTTATCATATAGCAAGTACCAAGCTCCCTCCATGACATCAGAACAAAGACTTATGTTCTCCCACAGTCCTGCCTCCTGAGGGACATCTTGGAATTTATACACTCTGTCCTTTGCAAATTTTTCAATGTCTAAACGTTAAAAAGAAACACATCGTTTTAATGGAAATCTTTTTAAAGTCTACTTAGTTCTGTTGTTCATTTTTAATACAATTTGCCAGCTTAAACCACTTGACTGTTTGTTAGCATAAGAGAAAATGCAAACAGCTACCTGTACAGTTGGTTCTTATAGTGTGTATGTGTATGTCAGCCTTAAATTTATAACAAGATAATAAGATCTCACCTATCGTGGCTTTGATGGCTGTTGCAATTTTCTCGGCAGTAACATGTGTCATGTCATCAAAACACTCCAGGGGAAACAGTGACTGTGGTCGCTTCACTATTAATCCAAGCTCTTTGAAGTCGGTTTCCCAGCCAACTGGCACAATTATAACCTTGATTTTGCTGGAGCAAAGTGCTTCAGAGATTGACTCCAGCCTTTCCTGGTCATCTTCACTTCCTTCTGCCCCTGAGAGCTGTTTTCCAGCAGTTATCAGCACAATGAGCTTTTGCTGAGTTGGATTTTCACTGAAATGGGTAGCAGCCTCTATTAAGGCCAAATCCATTCTTCTGAATTCACTGTCACTTTGGTGTGGAACAGATATTACCATTGAATGTACATCTATGGGTACTGTATCAGCACCCTCCCCATAGACAACAAGCGCAGTCTTTGCACTCTCCGAGGGGAGCTTCCAGCAACTGGAAATATCTTGAGAAAATCTGAACTCCTTTTGAAAGTCTTCCGTTGACACTGTCTTGGAGAAGTCCAGAGCAAACACAACTTTGAAGTCGAGTTCTGAAAGATATACATCAAACAGTGCATGAAAACCAAGCCCATGCAGTGCGTTTAGGTTGCCTAGCAATACACCCAATTGCCATACAAAAGAAGTAAAAACAAAAAAGCAATTAAATAGCCATGCAAAAATACACTGAGACATTCTGATAAATGGAGTTTAATGCAGAATGACGATGATGTAAACTGCAGAAATACAAATTTAAATGAAGATGTGATCATCGCAGTAATAATGGCAATCTAAACAATTGTAAATTGACATGAAAAAAAATTAGCGTTAGCACTGCAGTGCTCTACCAACTGAGCAATGAAGACCCATAAATTGGGAGTAGGCCAATTTGTTGAGTTGGTGGAGCAGTGCTGCGCTGACGTAGAGGCCATGGGTTTCAATTGTGTTGAAGCCACGAAAAATTTTTTCAGGGTAATTTGCCATTGCTTAAATTGCAATCACCACTGCGACAATCATTTAATTTTTGTATTTAATAATGATAATAATAATAATAATACTAATAATAACAACGAACATATTTTATTGATAACAACGGTAACTATTAAAATCCTATAACAACAACTAGCGATAACCAAAGGTTACGGAGTGCGGGCAACAACAATCGAAGGTCCTCTCGTTGCCCGCAATAATAATAATAATTGTCAAGTCACTAATATAGGGCAATTTCCACACGAATGCTCAATTGCACTTTACAGAAGTTTTAAAGATAATAATTATCAGTACATACAAATAATTAAAAGTAAGACAAGTAAAAATTAAGAACCTAGTCATGAAAACATGTTCGAAAATTAAAAAGTTTTCAGTTTAATTTTAAAACATGATAGACTTGTGGTCATCCTTATGTCCTGTGGTATGTTGCTTCACAACTTTGGGGCAGCAAACATGAAAGCGCAATCCCCAAGGGTCTTTGGTGATTTCATTGGAGGAAAGCGGAATAAGTTTCCATCACAAGAACTGCAAACCCGAAGGTGTAGCAACACAAATAAGAGAAGAAAGATAAGAAGGAGCCATATTATTTAAAGTCTTAAAAATAATTAATATTATCTTAAAATCAATGAGCTGCCTCACAGGTAGCCAGTGCAGATCCCGTAGACAGAATTTAGTCACAGAATATACCAAGTGAGCACATGCCTTTTGAATTCGCTGGAGCTTTAAGGTAAGACTGTTGAGCAAACTGTAGAATAAACTGTTGCAGTAATCAAGGATGCTAGTAATGAACATGTGAATAGGGGTTTCAGTGCGCTTTTAGATAGGAATTTCCTTATGTGAGGAATATTTTAAAGGTAGAAAAATGCTGCTCCACACATCTTATTGATTTATGAGTAGACAAAGTAAGCTTTGTATCAAGCCACACACTGAGGTAGCTGGCTTTGCCAGCCAAAGAAACATCCACAGATCCAACCCTAATCCAGTTAATTGAAATTGTCACAGCCTCGCTGTGAAGCCCCCGGTGAAAGCCACAACTTATAGAGTTTTTGTTTGACAATGAGTCTGTGATGGGTTTACGTTAGTCTGACACTTTATAGGACCAAAGTTTGATGCCATTGCGGCACTGTTTGCCAACTGTCTTCAGTTACAGCAGCAGGATCGTGGCCATGTGTCTGCTGGATGTCTCCCAATCACAATTTAACCCCTGAGGGTTAGCCAGAAAGTCACTTCAATCCTGCGATCACTCACGTTTCCAACCAGTTGTAGCACATTAGGGTCTTGCCTGTAGATAGGTGTCTTACATATAGGTTGGACTTCCAGGAACTGTGGCTTAGGTGCCCTGAGCTCCCCTTCATTGCCCTGGGTTGCATTGGTCCGAACCTGGAGATCTCTTCGGCATGGCGCTAGGGCTTGTGGCTGGTTTGCAGTTTTGGGTGGGCCAGTCAAGTGTTCTAGCATCTTGGGGTGTCATTTCATATGCAACCCTAGGCGCCCTCAGGCACCTCACCTCTATTTGCCACTTGGGCATAACATGCAGTAAAATGTAATTTAAAGTTTTCAACACCAAGGGGCAAAAGTCTTGTTAACGGCATTCTTGAAGCGTTTTTTAAGTGCGTATTTGGCCATCATTTCTTGTATAGGGTAGCACCTGTATGTTGATGGAGCACTGGGGCAGGTTACTGTCAAGCGTTATCTCAGGTAAGTACATGCATTTTTCCCTCCTTGTGTGATGGTCTTGAGCCCAGCGTTCTGTTGTTGTGATAGCACTGCATTGAGATAGTTGTCTGCAATTTTCGACAGTTGGAAGGAGAACTGAAGCAATTATTTTTAATGCCACTGTAAAGCTCTGAGCAGCATGGTAGCCATGGAAATGACCAGATAATGGTTTGAGTGAGCAAAGATGTTCCGTACCACATACAAAAGCCACAGACAAAACAAATAATATTAGTCATTATCTTGATACAATATTATTGTTTGTATAACGTTATGTACATAGAAACAATGTCTTATTTACCATCACTGTTAGCTTGATCTCCAGTAGTGTCTAGTCTCCTGCGCTTGTGATCAGTTTGATCCTCATCAGAGGCAGCAGCTGAAGACAAAAAGCAAGGGAGGAAAACATTAAGTGAAAATTTAAAATGCAGAAACTTCCAATCTTTCGTTTTCTACCACTGCTGCATTCCTGGTCTCCAGTATCTGACATAATATTATCTACTCTAGGCCTACAGGGTTCTCAATAGAAGGCGGCACCCGGCGATTGATCGCCGCTTACTTTGGGGTTTATAGCCGCTTACTTTGTGTTTAAGTCGCTTTTCTTTGCTTTGTTTTGACACCTCTGGCTTTGCTGAAGAGCCTCCTACTTTATCAGTGATCACCTCCTAATTAAAAATCTATTGAGAACACTGGGCCTAAGAGAGGCATAACATGGCAATGGGATACACTATACAACAACTTTATAACCTTTCCCAAGATGGCTTTTCTGAGATAATTTACCGTTGAAAAAAGGCACATAAAAAGAACAACAGTTGCCTGGTGGTCACAAGAAAAATTTTTATTAAATAAAACCAAAGCTGACATAGAGAATACTTCATGGAAAGTGCTGGCGTACGGTATTTACGCACGAGTTGTTGACGTATCAGAAATCGAACGAGTGAGCGCAGCGAACGAGTAAGATTTCTGATACAAAAACAACGAGTGCGTAAATACCGTACAAAGTGTTTATTATATACATATGAGACATTCATCATTTTGGCAGCCTTTTAATTTAAATCTTTCAAAAATGCTAAAATTTGCCACTACACACTTACCGCAAAATCACAACGAAAACGAAGTATCAGCTTTTTAGTAAAAACGTTTGTTAAAAACATAAATGACGGTGAGGATATGAGGTAATCCAAGAACTATAAGTAATCTTAACTGTTCGTTCTCAATGCACAATTGAAAATGAGTGAATTTAAGTAAAATGGCCGGTTTCAATATAAGCTTAAGCTTAAATGAAAGGCAAAGTAGCTCAGACAAAAAGCCCAACAAAAGCTTACGTCTCGTTCTGTTTATCCCTTTCCGCTGTTGTTTCGCCGGCTCTCTACCGTTTTCTTTATCGACAGTGAAACAAACGAAACTATTCCACTCCATTTCCGAAATGTTTTTCACTTTTTTAGCAGGAAAAACTCTTTGAGTAAAACTTTTCTCGTTCAATGTGTACGAAGCGGCGCTGCAAGCTGCAATAAAAGGCGGGAATTTTTGCGCGAAACTCACACACCTCTGTGGCTTCTGATTGGACGTATCATTTTTCTCACACGTGAAAAAACATTGTTCGCCATTCCGATTGGACGTATCATTTTTTTCACGTGTGAAAACCATCGTTCGCTCCTCTGATTGGCTAGAACTAATTTGCGTACGAAAATTTACGACATAGCTTTTTGGTGAGTATTTCTCAGTATGTATATAATAAATACATGTACATGCAACCGTTGCTTTTGTATAGTGTTTGATGAAAAGGGTTAAAACTTAATTAAGACAGCTCCATATTAGAAATCCTTTTTAGTAGACAGTTCTTTGAACTTAAAGATACCGAAGAGTTTTTCTTTATCCCAGCCAAAGTGCAGATTTATGACGTCTGGAATGGCGAAACTCATCACTTAAGTAGTGATTTGACTGTACTTTATACATTTGAACATTTATAATTAGCAGTTTAGAGGCTACATGCATATGTTAATGATTTGGTAAATCAATATATGCCAAAACGTGAATGATTATGATCATTAGTGGGTAATTTTACTGCATTTGGTGCTATTTAATTGTAGTTGGTTGCGGCAGCAGGTGTGTGGTAGGCTGATCTAGCTAAGGAGGTAGAGCACTTGTCTGCAGAGCAGGAGGTTGACTGTTCCAGGACTGGACCAAAACTCAAGGTCTTAAAATAACTGAGAAATAAAGATACTGCCTCTCGGCTCTGCCCTGTAAAAATTAATGGCTAGACCGTTGCATGACTCAGATGACCACATAAAATGGGGTCCTGTCTTTCATGTTGACACAGAAACAGGGTTCTCAATTAGTACTAAATATGGCATTGACACTCAGGTAAAATGCGTTTTTAAAGTGCACATCAAAACAAAGGATTTACATCATCTCACTTGCAGTGCATAATAAAAAAGCATTATAGTATCTAACCTTGGGTTGTAGAAGGACGACTTAATGCTTCAGAAAAACTCCTTCTTGAGTTGTTTGAACCAGTACTATGGCTACTACCTTTAAAAAATTGTACCCAGTTTAAGATAAATGAAGATTAAAATGTAGGACACTACCAACAGAGTCATGCACAAAATAATATGGGCTAGCACTTGAATTGTCCACTCTTGCCATTCCCCATTCAACAGTGGCTGAAAATTACCTTTTGTTAATAGGCATCAAATCGGTTGAAAAACCAAATCTTCTCACATGAGTAAACCTGCTTCTTATGCAAACTGATAACCATGCCTTTTCCTGTCCCTGACTCTTCTTCTGTGTCTAGGGTACATGCATGGGTATCTAGAAACTAGGGTAACTTGGGAAACCAGAAATTCTGGCTGGAAAATCAAATGGTTTAGGCCATTCTGTTTAGGAAGCTTCAGAATTGAATTTGGTTAAATGTAATTTAACTAAGTTAACCACCATGAGCTTAGCAGTCAAGCGGTTCATAAGCTTAGCGGTCAAGCGGTTCACAAGCGTAGCGGTCAAGCTGTTCACAAGCTTAGCAGTTAAGCGGTCCACAAGATTAGCGGTCCACAAGTTAAGCGGTCAAGTGGTCCACAAGCTTAGCGTTCAAGCGGCCCACGAGCGTAGCGGGCATCCAGCGGTCAATCCCATAAGTGCAGGCTCACATGGTTTGTGGTAGCTTTGTACACGGCTAGGATCTGCGAGTTCTTCATCGAGCGTTTGTGCAGTGGTCTGTGGAGCGGTTCATTTAGCGTCTTCTCCCCCTCCCATCCCTATTTTTCTTCCTTCCACTGTTTCATCAGTGTGACGGGTGCCTGGAAAGGGGGCTCATGGCTGGGTTGCGGGGATTTGCCAGCCATGGGGGCAGTTTTCTATCTAGGGGCTGGCTGGCCACAGTGGAAGCCCCTAGGTATCCCAGGCACCCACCTTCCACTTAAGCAAGGCAGTTGGTTAAATTTGGGCTGTGATTTGAGGCCATGCAATTTTTCAACTTTTTTAGTCTGTTATGGTGATTTGGATATACTTTAATGTAACAGGGTGTCTCCTTACACATCCAATTTTATCATTTTGTGTTCAACATACACAAGATTACCACTTAAATCAGGTTTGTGTAAATGGCAAGCACCTTCTTCATCGTGGACTTCCAGTGTCATTCTTTCTAAAATTACCTGTCGGGGAATTAAAGCCACTTCAACAGTTACTAGACTGCTTGTATTGCACAAGTGTGTGTCAGCTCTGTATTTTAATGCTTTGTTGCTAAAACATTTAACAACATTATAAAGGTTTTCTTTTACCATAATTACTTCTGATCAACTGTTACTACTTTAGTTGTACCTGCAGTTTCACCGGGGGTACTCTGCCCTTGACCACTTGATGATGTGTTTGGTTCACTTACATCCATAACTACTGAACAGTTCCAAAATGTATCCACAAATTATGCAGCAAACCATCAACACTCCTTTACAAAGTTATCTGTAAATGTTAATATTACATTAATGTTCTTTCTAAAAAAAATGTTTTTTGACCTTCAGGATTTGATGCTATCAACTACACCAAGATAAAAGCCTTACATCAATAGGGTTGCCATAGAATTCTGGTAGTAGGAGAAATTAGCAACGTTACTGGCGAATAATTGAAAGAGGCTCTTCGTCTTAATAAAAAGTAGTCATGGGCAACTGAACATTAGCCAGAGGATTGTGTGTAGTAAACAGAGAATTATCTCATCTTTGATGCCTAATGAACCCCCTGCATCAAACAAGGACAGCACCTATTGCAAACATAAAAAAACTGCTCAAAACATGAAAAGAAGGTATAAATTATAACAATGCAAACACAAAAGGAGGCACAGATGGACAAACTTGAAGAAGATTGAAACAGATTTCAATTGTGATTTTTGTAAACCTGTTAGCCTAACAGTTTTTAAAGTTCACTTTGATGTTTTTAACTTTTGATATAATGCTTGGGTGACAAAATTATTTGATTGTGATGCAGCTCTGATTTTGTCATTCACAAGTATTTCCTCAAGTTCTATAACAAAAAAGATGCATAACTGGCATTTGTGACCTTTCATGCGAAAACGTACTATAACGACTTTCCGTTAAACGGGTGAAATGAACGGCCATCGAACGGGTTACAAACGGGTCACCAAGCCGTTTTAAACGGGTTTCAATGAGTGTTCGAACGGGTGATTAAGTATTCCGAACGGGTAGCTTAGCCGTTCGAACGGCTCGGGGAAAATTGCGAACGGGTAGCCTAACCGTTCGAACGGGTCGTAGAACATTCCGAACGGGTAACCAAACCGTTCGAACGGCTCATAAAAAATTCCGAACGGGTAACCAAACCGTTCGAACGGCTCATAAAAAAATTCCGAACGAGCAATCTAAACGTTCGAACGGCTCATGAAATCTTTGAACGAGCAGTCACGAACGGCTTACAAACGTGATGATTGTAATTTGTTTTTTAAATTTTAAAAAAAACTGAACAGCATTGAACACAGCCACTTTAATGCATGACAAAACAAGTCCTGCCTAGAAATCTGGGATAAGTAGATTTAAAACACAGTGACTGGTGATCTGCACCCCGGGGGAGGAGGGGGGGGAGGGGAGTACTCATGATTTCAATATCTGAGTCATAAATCTGAGCCATAAAAATTTATTTGCGCAACTATGCAGCTGGGATACATGGGAACTGCCACAAATCTTCAGGTGGTTTGGAATACCCCCAAAAATCTCTACACTTACATCAACCTACCCAAAAAGTACTTGCAAATTTTCCAACCCCAAAAAATCCCAAACTTGAAAATTTCAAACCCAAAAAAATCCTTCGATCACCCTTGTCACTTGAAATCGGGAGTATCCTCCTTGGGGTCCAGGGTTGTCAAAAGTAGCTGGCTCCCGGCGAAAATCGCCACCTACTTGGTTAGTATCGGCCAGCTACATGTACTCTGCTTGGCATTTCTTTACTGGTGAAGTTTTTTAAATAAAATATCCTTGGACAGGCCACTTACTTTGACAACTCAGCTGTCTACTTTAAAACTTTCTGACAACCCTGGGTGTCTGCACTGTCACCTACAAACTGTATCACTGTTTTTCCCTGTTATGCCATTAAATAATTATCAAAATGAAAACTGTTCAATAGATAAAGTCAAGAATCCAGGAAATTAAAGGAGATACCCATACAAAGATCCTTGCTAATCAGGTCAATGCCAATATTTCATAATTCTATGTGAGATGTCAGAAGAAATAACAGAGCTTTAAATGGAGATGCCATGTTGGTGACAATCCAGCTAAATGAGGGCACCAACATGGAGGCTGGAAACCAACAGAAACATCTGTTACTGAGCTTTGCTACAAAAGCATGAATTTATTTCTTGAAGAACTCATGAACATTAAAATAATACTTTTCCTAATAAAATGACTGTTCAGATAGCAAAATCTCCCTCTCTTTTTTAACCTACATGACAGCTAAACTTGGTGAGGAGAGGTTTCTCTCTTGCATGGCTTTTGACGTTTACGAAGTTGTTCTTGTCTTTTGCTTGTCGCGTAGGTGGTTTGTTTAACTGGGCTGTCAGAAAGTTTTGAAGTAGATGGCAGAGTTGTCAAAGTAAGCGGCCAGTCCAGGGATATTTTATTTAAAAAATGCCATCTGTGAAGAAATGCCAAGCAGAGTAGACAGCCGATACTAACCAAGAATGCAGTGATTTTCGCCGGCAGCCAGCTACTTTTGACAACCCTGGTTTAAGCCCTGTGAGAAACAGGGCATAAAATAACCAACTAAGCCAACTTTTCCCTTAGGGAAAAGAAGCGTTATGTCCCTTTCCTAGTCACAGACATCTACACGTATTCTACCATAAACAACCGCTCAGGGAAAACATTCAGTGGGAAAAAGTTATTGGAACCTGTGGCCAGAGGCAAGAGTCTGCAACAAAACAACTGACTTTTTCTCTGTAACTGCACATGAGAATATCACTGTCCACATGTACAAGCACTACTAACCAGCAAATGGCATGACTAGCTTTCAGCAAAATTTCAAGAGGGGATCTGTCGATCAGTGTAGGTTTTCGTGCTCATGTGTTCAGTGGCATAATTGTCATCCTGAATACGAGTAAGTTTACTTATGGTGCAATTTTTAATCTTGTTTGGATCTCCCCATTAGTAAGCTTCCCCCAAGTTTCGTGAGGATCTGCTCTCGAATTCATATATCCAATGAAACAAACAATGAGTTCACAGGCAGGGGTCAATATAAATGGGTGCCATGGAGGAGTTCATGCTCATGGTTGCATCATGGGTAATCAAGGCAAGATGGCGAGAAATTCAAAGATTTTTATTAGAATTCAAAGCCAGCTAATTCTTCCTGAATTCATATCTTTGATGCTTTGTCTTTGAAAAGAGTAACAAGTTTACGATTTCAGAGAAACAATACACTAAATCTGGAGTGCAAAGAGGCCCATTGATCAGCATTTAGAGAAATTATGAAATTATGTATGGAAAAATCGAGGTTTTCTTAAGAATTAGCTGGCTTTTAATTCTCATACAAATCTAGGAATTTCCCGCCATCTTACCCTGATTACCCATGATGCAACTAAGAGCGTGAACTCCCTATTGTCTTTAGAATATATAGTATGATGCGATGACACTACATGCACATAACTACATATGTACGGCGCAAAATACTGCTGAAAATTTACCTTTGAACTGAGGAAATATTAAAAGACGTACCTTTGAGTTGAACGAAGTAAGTGAGCAGCCAATTTGAACCTTGAACGCTGCTAATGGGACTCAGCTTCTCACGAAAGCGAACTTTTCTGATCTGATAGGTTCTGAAGACTTCTGAGTGTAAATAAAGTAATTAAAGCTTAACTGCTCAAGCGGTTCTTGTTCAAAAATTTGAAGAGTGAGAAATTTCTCATTTACAAAAGGGCCTTTTGACCCCGTTCAACTTCTCCGCCTTCACGGTCGGCGGAAGGCAATACAAAAGGCACTCCAGTGCATTCTGGGACAGCTTCATTTCCAACATGGCGGCTTTCAGTGCAGTCTGGAAAGTTCTCCTGAAAAGCTGTCGTGACTCCTCCATTGACTAGCTGTTAGTTGGTGTGTGTTCAGGTGAGTGTAACCGTTTTTAAAAAAAGAAGGGGTCGATTTTAACTTTAAGACCCCGAGAGACGATTGAAACAGCAGTTTTGGAGCATGCTGGCCAAAGCACCTGATCGTCAAATGGAGCCGATCGAGCACTTTTCAAGGTCACCGAAAGTCTTTAGTTTGTGTTTTGGTTTGGAATATCTCTCAATTCTACGGCAGAAGTGCCCTTCGACTGAAGGTTGATCTAAAATTGCTCTTAATTCTTGGTAATTGATCGGCTGAGTAAACAAAATAAATTATGCATTTGCCTTACTGTACGAAACGATATAAAGCGCTTTAATTAAGGCTTAATTTTGGCTTTTATGATTATCTTTACAGATAAACGTGAAAACCATTTTATTTTGTCCTTGCTCATTTTATTTTATGATTATTATTATTTTTTTTCACTTTTTCTTGTTGGAGTTTTCCCTGATTTTTCATGTCACTGCTATCTCTCATAGACGAGGAACTGCACAATATCTCACTGCTGCAGCTTGGAATCAAGAATGGAAGAGGATGACACACTTGCAAAACACTTAAGTCAAAAAGACCCAATCATATCATTGTACGCAGAGGAAGAACTCGAAGATGTTAGCACAACTAGTTCCGTTACAAAAAGCAATACTGTGATAACTGGCCAAGTTTCAGAGGTGAGCTCTACATCGGAGGACAATTACCAGATACCTAGTACATCAAGCAAAAGCATCTTTATGGACTTATATGAAGAAGACATTTTAAACACTGACTCAGAGAATGTGAATAATACAGGAAAGGATACTTCAGCTAGTGATGCAGCAGGAACTAAGAAACGCAAACCAGGGTTGCTACTTCTTGGCGAGTATGCTGACAGTGGGAATGACACCGAAGAGGAAGCGTTAAATGCACTTAAAGTTAGACAGGATAAATCTAAAGAGACGGTAGAAAATGCAAGTAGTAAAGATGCTGGTAGTGAGGATGTTGTCAGTGAGAAAGTAATTAATGAGAATAAACCTCTGGAGACATCACCTGAATCTGACATGACCAAAGTTTTAGAGGATCTGCCTCTTACAGTTGGTAAAGATTCTTCACTTGTTGAAGAGAAAGTAGAAGATAAAAACAACAGTGATTCTCATGCTATACAAGATGTCAGACAAGCTAAATTGGAAAGAAGTGTCAGCAAGGAAGAAGGACAAATTTCTGCTGAGTCTGATTCCAGTGATAGTGAACAGTCATCTGAGGACAGAAAGGATTCCATAAAACAAAAAGACTCAAAAAAGGATAAAAGCAAAAAGAAGGATAAAAAGAAGAAAAAGAAAAAACGAAAGAAACAAAAACATTCAGTGGACAAAAAAGATTCAGATGTCACAGGTAAAGTAAAACACAGGCATTGGTGTTATATGTTGTTGTTCAATGTTACCTGTATTTCCCTGTTATTGTACCACTTACATTTACTGGTCTTCGTTTTTTCCTTTGTTTTTTTTTTCTCTCATGCATGTACATAATCATACACAAAGCAAAGGAAACTCAAGGCTGTGCTCTAAGAAAAATTGAAAGGAGCCCAGTTTTCTGGACCTGTGAAATCAAGGGTGCCCATAGTATGATTTCTATGTAAAAACCTAGTTTTTCTAGTCGCCCAGGTGCAGAAAGAAGGTACTAGGGGGCCACTTGGTGGTGCTAGAGTGCTATCTTGAAACTTAAAATTGAAGAGCAACTGTACACTGTAATAGCATACTACAATGGAAATTGCTTTAAGATTATCACAGGGTGTTCTCCTTATCAGACAGTAACCAGTAAAATTTACCACCTGAAGCCACACTTCTTACTGCTGGCAACGACCTGAAGGTTTACTAAAGTTAAAGAAGTACTTTTAAAAAAATACACAAGTTGTGATCCGATCCGATTCTCACATGCCACGAGGAAATGAATGAATATAAGTATGGAAAAGTACTAACAAACACACAGCTTTTCGGCTTTTTATGGGCCACACATTTTGGAAAGAATGCTTACCAACAAACAGTAACTTCTCTTTCATACCAGATGTATGTCTGAGAATAATCACCATATTTATTCGAATAAGCACCCAACCTTGAATTAGCGCCCACCTTGAATAAGTGCCCACCCCACCCCCTCCCCCCCTCCCACTATAATCCAAATGAGTGCCCAACTGACCCCCTTCTCCCTAATAAGAGACTTGCCCAAAGATGGAGTTATCTTCATAGTATTTTACAGGAACCTTTCTTTTTTACATTTTATTGTTTTGTTGCAAAATAACTTACTACAGTTGCTGAAAATTGTGAAAATTAAATAAGCAGCGGCTTCTAATAAGTGCCCACCTCAAATAAGCACCCACCCCCAAGGTCCAAAAATTTAATAAGTGCCCAGGGTGCTTAATTGAATAAATACGGTATTACACTTAATTTAAATCATGATTTTATGCATGTTCTGTTTCTCTCCTATAGTAAATTTATCTATGATATTGTTTTAAGTGAATTGTTTACACGCACATTTTAAGAGCTGCAGTCTGACTACAAATGTATACAGTTTTTTTATTGTAATATCCTTATTTTGTGAAATAGGTGATGAGAAGAAAGAGAGAAAATCAGTCAGAGGTAGAAGTAGAGAAAGCTCAGAGAAACACAAGTTTTCTAAGCATTCCAGGAGTAGAAGCCCGGATAGGAGCAGGGACAGAAGTTCAAGGCGTCGTGTCCATAGTAGAAGCAGATCACAAGATAAATGGAAACAGTCAAGACATGTTAGAGAGAAATCAAGGAGATCAAGAAGTCGATCATCTAGCAGGAGACGTTCTGCACCAAATAGAAATAAGGACTTTAAATCCAGGAGTAGATCTCCAAAGAGAAGTGTTTCACCACGCAACAGGAGAAGAGAAAGAGAAGACAAGTGGTCATCAACTTCTAGAAGTAGGAGAGATTCTCCATCAAAAAGGAAAAGGAAAGTGTCAAGAAGCCGGTCACCTCGTAAACGAAGGGAGAGGTCTCCTGAACACAGAAGGAGTAGGTCACCCAAGAAGCGGTCATATTCGCCAGACAAAAGAAGGAGAACTTCTCGTGAAACATCACCCAGAGAAAGTTCACTATCAAGAAAAGAAAAATCTCCCAGAAAAAGGGAAAGAAAGCAAAGTCAATCCACACCTGTTAAGGCATCAAATCGCACATCGTCAGCCTCAGATAGTTTGGACTCAGGTCACTTCACCAACATACCTCTGTCAAAGACAAATAAACCAGAGGAATCTGAACCTGACAGTAACGAGCCAGTTAAAAAGCCATCGCCAATTTCTGAAAAGAAAGATGAGCCTAGTGTTCCGCCCAAAGCCATGGCAGATGTAGAAAAGCAGTTTTCACCTATGTATAGTCCAGAAAAACCTTGGGAGGATGAATTTGACTTTGTGTTTACAGAACACCTGTCACCCAAGCAAGGAACTGAGAAGAGCATGGAGGACGTTCTGTTTGGATCAGAGGCAAAAACTCCTGATTTCAAAAGACCAATAACTGTGGAAAGGTAAGGCACAGAGGTAGTTTGACCCTGTAAGTCTCATGTATGACGATCATCAATTTTCTCACAACAGTACCAACGTGAAATCAAGGTGAAAGGTTGCGAGAATTTATAAAGTGATCAGCTAAGGAAAAATATTAAATACGTGGATCTTTCACCAAATTCTGCCAACTACATGTAATTCTTTAAGGAAATATATGGGGATCAGTCTAGAGAATAGAGACCTTTAGCATCAGGTTTTCATGGGAAACTGCAAACTGCAAACTGCAGTTTGCCATTATGTGTTTGCAATTTCACGTTGCCCAGATTTCAAATTTTAGCAAGGCATTCAGTTCAGTTCAGTTCAGTTCATTTTTATTTAGCCAAAATATAATACAATACAAGAATCCATATAGGAATTGTAAGGTTGCAAGGGAGCCCAGAAGAAACCAGAAGGCGTATGAAGCCTGGGCTCCCTAGTCACAAAGAAATGAGTAAAATAAAATGAAATTCGCGGAGTGATATGTTAAAAATACGAACTAAACAGGGACTGAGTTAGTTATGAATTCAGTAACAAGATAGAAAAAAATATTTAACTCTGGATTGGAACAGAATACTTCTTTTGTTAGTACAGCAGAAAGGAATATAAAATCAATTTGAACTACACGTTCATTGTTTAGTGCCTCCGTGTTGTTTTTCATCAAGTCGAAGTGCGTCACTTCAATTTCCCAAAAAACAGGAATAATTCACTGATTCAAGATCAAAAATCCAACAAATACATTGCAAACGGATATAAAAAGATAGTTCGTGCCTTTAAACGCGAGGCTGTACAATTTTTAGTGGCAAAAACCTTGACTTAAATCACTTATGGCTTGAAGCCCTCCCTGCAGTTCAAACGTGAACTGCAAACTGCAAACAACAACAACAACAAGAAGTTTATTTCAAATTAAATATGCAGGGCTTCTGGTATTTCGTGCAGTCGCCGAGCCGCAAAATTCAGGTAAATCCGCGAAATCCCACAGAATTCACAAAAACACACAAAATACCGCGAAATTCAGTAGAAATCTTATCAAATACATGTCTGTACAACATTATTTGAAACTTATCTCAGCTACTGGGGCTGTTCACTTGCCGTAAACTTACAAATTTATCTTGAAACTTCGTCACTGAAATGTGCAAACAACGTCCCGAAACTACCAGGGGTAAATTATGTTGCGAAAAACTGGGCACTAGCCATGATGTTAAAGGCTTTGCTATTGGTTCATTTCTGGAGCGTATTGTTGTTGAAAGAGCAAATGATGACCTCTGTTAGAAAACCGTTTAAAACACTGGTGTCATCAGCTCCGATCAATTTCCAGTTAAACTCATCGACAATGGCAACGATTCGCTAAGCAACAGATTCGCAAAGATCAGCTCAAAAATGCCAGCGTGAGATGCAACGTAAGTCACAAGATAAGCAAAAGGCCCCCTGCGAACACCCCTCAGATCACGTACGTTTGAGGAGGAGTCCGCTGACCGCATTGGCTTGCAATTTAACTTTGCCTAAAATTACATTTAGCCACATTAAAATTTGCCTTGAAAATGGCCACAAAATCGGTTGTTTTTTACCGATTGCTTTTCAGCAAAGTTTGCCTCAAAAATTTCCCGGAAATCGGCCGATTTTTCCGTGAATTTATCCCTAAAAATCCTGCGAAATATCAGAAGCCCTGAATATAGCTTACAAAGCTTGTGCCCGCAACATTTGACATTTTGCGGTTTGTGGTTTGCTTTTTCCCATGAAAAACCTGATGCAAAAGGTCTTTAATATGTTGAAGGGTTAAGAGGAATGATCCAGTTGGAGACCCCATGCTGTTTCTTTAATTAGAGAACTGTTTTTTTTTTCTTCAAGTGTGTGAAGCAAGGTTCAACACTTGCACATGAGATACAGTACATAATGACAATCTCTCATATTTTGACAAGCAAATACAGCACAACTTGGAGCAAAAATCTGGAAAATTATCAGAAGTCACCAAAAATAAAAACAAACAAGCCAACATAATGAGGCTACCAAATTACACTCATTAAAAAGTGAGGTCCAAACAACCCAAAGTTAACTGAAAGGCGCACAAAATTTGTTCACTACTTGAACAAGATGCTAGATGCAAATAAGTATCTTGCACAAGAATAATATCTTAGGTAGCTCCTTAGTAGAGGTGCAAACTAGTAAACCAGTGATCTTGTTACCTCTGCGTCCTGTGTCCCTGATGCATAAATTAAAAATCCCCAAAGACGCAAAATGATTCATAGCATGTGTCCCGTAGGATGCAAAGATCGGTCGATTGATCTGAGTGTCAGTATTTGTAAAAACATCCTGTTCATGTAATTTCTGTGGCAGTTATTATGGCTGTTGTTTAACAATGCATATTTCTTTTAGCCTTTGTTCTGCTCTAAAATAACCACTATATTTTAATTTCAGTATACTGTAATACAGAGTTTTGGAGTATGTCTTCAGATTACCTACATATGTCTGGTTACATAAAGGCCAAAGCATTTTCAATATCGAACTCATTTCTTTTTTTTTAACTGGGACTCATGATTTTTTACAAGATGAGTCCCAGGACTCACCATAACAATTTGTAACAAAAGCACTGGTAAACTGAAGCTATTATTTTCCCCTCCACCCTCTAAGCCCAAGTATGCATATACAAATTCTCCAGACTTACCTACAGTACATGCATTTCCTTAAAGAATAATTGAGAGAATATGACAAAAAAAATCAAGGCATTTTCCCTTGGGTGATCGTTTTATTTATTCTCATAACCCTTTCTCTTGATTGCATATTGATCGTGTTAAATAGAAAATTCATGTTGGTCTTTCTTGGTACTTAAAGGGTATAAATGGCAACTGATTTTTTACCTGTGAAAAGTTAGAACTACATCATGTCTCCATAACAGACCTTGTTTTTGAAAGGTTTTTATTTACGGTAAGTCAAAAAAAGAGAAACTGAAAGAAAGACGAAAATAGTAAATCACTCATGGTCAATCATGTTTGATAGAGAATGGTAACCAATATTAGTTTTGGAATGTTAATGATTTTGTTTTTGTAATACATGTAAGTAAAAAAAGAGAGATAGAGAAAGGGAGAAAAATAAATCACTCACAATCAGTATTAAATTTGAAAGGGAATGGTAACTGGTAACTATTATAGCAGCTTACATGCATATTGAACATTTTTTGGACTGTCAATGATTTTTTATTATTATTTTTCTTTACAATTCTATGTAGCAAGAAAAATAAAGGAGAGCCTGTTGCAAAGAAAGAGGAAAAGAAAGAAGAAAAAGTAAAAACTGGTAGAGAGAAAAATAATGTTCCGCAAAAAGAAGAAAACCAAGATGGTTCTTCCAGAATACAGCAAGCTAGTTCTGATACTGCAGAGTCCACCATCAAAGCTAATGGCCAAAATATTTCTGCTTCCAAGACAGCAGAAGTAGCAAAAACTGTCTTTGAAGATAAACCAGACCAACTTGAAAAGAGAAACAGTGACAATGAGTCATTACAAGCTTCAATTAATACTAACAAATCAGCTTTTAGGCAATCTAAGTTGGAAGTTATACCTTTTTTAGATGAAGCACCATCTACCCAACCTCCTGTAGGTAGTAGCACAGTTCACCCAGCCAAGTCCCAGGTGGACATTAAAGGTTCTTCCCCTTTAGCTGGTACAGGCAAAAAACAAAATGAACTTCAAAAAGCAAAAGATATTATACAGTCATCTATCACAAGGATAAATAAAGCACCAAACAATGTTAACGTGAGTCCCATGGACATGGAAATGTCATCACCTGAAGGAGACATTATTGACCGTATGAATGAAGAGTTTTGGAGGCAACAACAGCAGCAGCCAGTTGGAATGAATCAAGCAGAAGTCGAGGGAAGGCAATCAAGAGACGATTTTACAGTAGAGTCTGAAGGAAATGAACAGTGCTCGTTTGAGGAGCCATACGAGCCTGAAAGTGGGTTGATTATTGGTGAAGAATATGAAGATTTAAATAACATAGCTGATCCCAAAGAAAGAAGGAAGAAAGAGAAACAACATCAGAAGGAAAAGACAAAAGTTCAGGTAAATGTAAGGTTGGAAAGTAAAGCTTCAATAGTTGTAAACTTGCCAAGATGCTGACACTTAAGTTTATAAATCACTGACCCAGTGTTCTCACCAGGATTCTCCACCCTGGGGTCCACAGGACCCATAGAGAAGCTAAAATGGGGTCATGAGGTAGAAAAGTGGGTCACAATTTTTAGATACAGTTAACTCAATGTTTAACTCAAAGGTCTGAGTTAGAGTAAATGGATGATAAATATCCAATTTTTCCATACAGTTAACTCAACATTCTACAGCTCTGAGTTAGAGTTACACAGAATAACCAATTAAATTTTGGCTTATATTATAAGGAAACGAACAAATGTTTTTGGACGTTTTCAGGGTTCTATCTAGGATTTATTGCTTGCAGGAGAAGTCCCTGAGTAGCCAAAAGGCCATGAGCTTCCTAGGGGGGTTGGAGGGTATGCCCTCTCAAATACCCCAGATAGAACCCTGGTTTTGGAATAGGTTTTTTTTCCTTCTTTGCACCCTTGGGACCCCTTGCGCTTGCTGCATTCTGGTAAGAACACTGATGACCTTGCCTTAAACAATTGTCATAGCCATGAAATGAAAAACTTAACACCAAATTGCAGGATTTTCAGTAAGTTTTGAAGTAGGTGGCTGATTCACCGTTTTAACTTTAATATCCCAGCTGATTAGCTAACCAAAAATTCAAAGCAGGTTATGTGTTTGCCAGCTATTTTTGACAACCCCAGAAGTAAGACTTTGCAACTCATCGGAACTGCTTCTTAGATTTCAAGACTGGATAAAAGATTTCCAAGATTCACAATTTTCCTAAATTGCTGGTCTAGCAATAATTGCAATGAAGCCCTAATTGACTTAGGTAAATTGCTTCCAAATAATATTGTCTTGTACTTATGTGCACTTGTGAATCAAATGGAGAATTTAGCATCAGATCAGGAGTCACTAGTGTCTTAGAACCTTCTAAGCACACTTCTGTTATTAAGCTTTAAATTATCCCATTACATCCATATAATTAACGTCATGATCCGTTGATTTATAGTTGGTTTTCGTATTTGAAAATTGCCCATTTGAGACATGTTTACAATTTTATAATGATAGTTCTGTGCATTTGACATTTCTTTGGCCTGTCAGTCAAGGAATGTTATCTTGTGTTTTGCTTTTAATTATAGGAACTGATAGATAAGCTTCACCGACAAGCTCGTGTAGAAGAAGAAGTCAAGCATGTTCTCAAAGCATATTACAAGCACAGAGATATTAACAAGGAAGAGTACAAGAGTATACTGAGAAGAGCTGTTCCACAGGTTTGTTACTGAATTTCTTGGTTAAGTTTTATTTAGTCATGCAAGGATGATCTTTTAATCTTAGGATCAACTCCCAGTAACTAAATGCAGGTCAAAAGCTATCATGTTCTCACAGATCAATACTTGTGCACACTGTATTGCTGGTTTTCACTGTTGAAGCATAAAAAAACTTAATCCAATCAACAGTAAAATAGAATCTGGTAAACACATCAAAGATAAACATGCAAACAGTCATTCCAAGTTTCGGGTCTGTACGCTTTTCCACAACTGCATGCAAGATCCCCAGAGAAATATTTACCTAAACTTATAGAGCTTTTGTTTAGAGCTGCCACATTGGTGTCCCCTCTTGTGTAAATATTGCACTGTCACAATCATGCACTTTCCATGATGTTTTCTACATTTACTTTGCCAAGGGACAAAATATGATATTTAATACTGTACTTAGGTACATTATATGGTAATAGATTATATGTCTGGCTAAGTCACCATTTTGGTCAAACAAAACAAAAAATATGTGGTTGAACTCAGTTACTGAAGCATGTTTCTGTCACCCATCCTTACATGTACATCAGGGAACCTGGATCATGGAAGTGTAGAAATGAAATCCTTAACACCTCAGAGATGATACAGAAACAACTCTCAAATAAAGGAAAACCAGATTCATTTGTTAAAGGGAACCTCCACTCTTACTACAGAATAAGTTTAAATCGAATAAAATTATGTTGATAAACAAGTTTGTTTGAAATTTGTCCTTAAAAAAGTGTTTATATCAGGAAAAGTGAATTTTAAAATCGCTTATTTTCACTTTCAAATTTCGCAGGCGCCGCCATCTTGAATAATTGTGACGTGTTATGGTTGCTCTATTGTTCTGACACAAAGAGCTTTTGTTTAATAACAATAGGGCAACCGTAACACGTCACAATTATTCAAGATGGCGACGCCTGCAAAATTTGAAAACAAAAATAGGCGAATCTAAAAGTTATTTCTTTCGGATACAGACGCTTTTTTAAAAAATATTTTAGATTGACTTGACTGTAACAGTTATTTCCTGTGATTTAAAGTTATCTTTTTGTTGAAGTGGAGGTTCCCTTTAAATGGCAAAAATTAATACTTGTACTATGCATGACTTGATCATGAGTTTGTGTCTTCTTTTTTTTCTTAGGTGACAAACTCAAGCAGTGCCATAGACCCTGAGAGAATCCGATCTCTCGTAAAGAAATATGTAGCCAAGATCAAGGGACAACGAGTTGATTCTTAGTATAGTTACTGCACCTTTTGTACAATTTTGCTTCGTAAGCAACATGGTCAGGTACCAAAACTTCTCAGTCCTATTAAAATTTCATTTCCATTCGTAAAAGAGCCATACTTAGATCTAAGAGATCTTTCATCCGAAATCGCCTTTTTCTGAGAAGATTATACACATAAGTACTGTATTTGCAGCATTAGCTAAAATGAAAAGGAAAAATAATACAGAGTGCATTCTTCAATCTGCAGAAATGCAAATTTATATAAGTGAATGATCTGTTTAATTGAGACAAAAATTCAAAGCTCCTGTTGCTGAAAGACCACAGGATCCCAGGACAGTGTTTAAAGTGAAGAACTGCATTCCTGGTTGAATTTTATTATTTATGATAAACTAGACTTGAACATGTAGAGCTCTGTTCTTAGCCATAGATCTCACTCTGATGTAAACCTGTAGTACAGTCTACTCTCTCTTTAATAACGGACACCTCTATAAGACGGACACCTCTGTAAAATGGACACCTAGAGTTGGTCCCCACCTTTCTTTACTACCTTTATTTGACTCTCTATAAGACGGACATCTCTCTAAGACGGACACATACTGCAGGTCCCCAAATTGTCCGTCTCAGAAAGAGTTGACTGTACATGTAAAATCAGCTATCAGAACTTCCATTTCATCAGTGTTGTACCACATCAAATGCAGTTTTAGCTTTAGTAGCCAAGCGTAAGTTTTTGAAGGTGGAAAGTTAAGGTGTTGATTGGTGGTATTTGTTTTCAAGGTGTTTACAGATTGGGTTAAACATGCTTTCATTGCCTATCACCTTGGTAGAACAGTGTTTTGGAAAGTAACCTGGGCGAAGGTGATGCAGTTATAAAAGTAATGTTCTGGCGTCTCCTTTCAAGGGTCTGTCATAACACATAGAGGTTATATTGCTGCAGTTGTATTACTTTTATACTTGACACCACAATAGACTTTAAATTTCCAGAAGATAGTTTGTACGGCCAGTTTGTACGGTCCACCCTTTCTTTTGAGGAAAACTATGTCATTTGAATGATAAAGTGTTAAAGAAATTTTATTACTTATTGGATCAAGTCATCAAAGAGTACTGGAATGTGATAGTTTTTACTTAAAACACAGTAAAATAAGCTGTTACGTGAAGTTATGTTTGCACAACCCTACCTAAGCTACATAAAAAGGCAGCAGAAAATGGGGTAGAATGTGCTCTGTTGTAATCCCTGGCATTTCAAAGAGGAAAATTGATATGTAGTTTGGCTGCTGAATAGATTATATACAGTATTTTCCTGTGTTATCAAGTTATTTGTGTTTACTTGGAGTCAAGTGCTGAATTATCTTCAACAATGTAAGTAAAGAAGAAAAATGTAATAGAACTTTGTCATACTAAATGCCATAAATCATGTTAAAAGTAGAAAAGAAAGTTAACCTTTTTTAGAGTATCTTCCATTTCCTCATGACCAAGGTTTCACTTTACACTATTACCCAGGTACACTTTGACAAATTGGTCAAACAATATTCAATCAAAAAATATTTTTGAAGTAAGGCGTACCTGGAAATTATAGTCTTTTTAGTCTAAGTGAGTGGTTCAATTTTACTGGGCAAATGTTTGTAGCATAACTACAGATTAATTCGTTTTGGTAGTTCTTTGAATTACCTATACAGGTCTTTAATACAATAATTGTATTCAGGTGTAATTATTAAACCTCTCATCTTGGAACCTTCATACTAAAGAAAAACATGAAACCACTGTCTATGCACACTGCTTGATGTGAACCAATTAATGCTTTGTAAATACACAACACCATACTTTAATAGTAATAGACAACCCTTATAAATTATAATGGTTCTGTCCGTTTAGTGTTTATAATGAAAATTTGACCATAGTTTTCAGTTATTCATAACAGTTATTTAATGTTTCTGTGTTAAAATAAAATGAATCACATGAATTTAGTCCTAAGTGTTTTGTGCAACCACACTGGAAGGATTGTATTAAAATACCCTTATTGTGTAACGTAGGGAATGTATGTTGGTCAACAGATTTCATTTGCACATAAGGTGGAAAGACAAACCTTCCACAAATATGGACACTCATGTTTGAGACTAGTGTGCAATAAAAGGTATTATGTGTGGAGGTGACAGTGTTTGTATTACTCTCATTGCCCCTATTTCTGTGTGACTGTTGTGATTGCTGAGTTGGAGAACTGCTGCTTGATTTCTTTTGGAGAGCAAAAACTGGTAAGAGCACAAAATTAATGTATTGTCCATGGGTAATAAGGTATGGTCTAATATTTTGGGGGGTGGGGGTGCCTTTTACCACAGCCAACCCCCTTACCCTTGGGCAAATTAAACTCTTCTGAAATGACCTCAACAATTTCATGGAAAAGCAGGGGACCATTAACAGTCTAGTTTGTGTAGGTTACTCCCTTTGGCAAGTGTTTCTATCTAATGGGTCAGCCTGGAAGAAAATTAAGACAGAAACCATCAGGAAATTGAGTAATTTCAACTTTCAGTGGACAAAAACCTTGTACCAGAGTAATTTAAACAATACAGCATTCAAGGCATTTTTCAAGGGCTATAGACATAATTTATTATCTGTAATAACACCAAAGACTATTTCTCATTGGAGCCTGAGAAAATAATGTCAAATTTCACAAAAATTGTGAAAACACAGGTACAATTCTGAAAATTTCACGTGTAAGATGTCATTTTGTGAATTTTGACATTCGTTCTCTCCAGCTCCCATACGAAATTTTCTTTGCTGTTATTACAGAGAACTTATTACATCTATAGCCTTTGAAAAATGTAAAAAAGAATGCGATATTGTTTAAATTATTCTGGTACAAGGTTTTTGTCCACTGAAAATTCAAAATACTCAATTGCCTGATAGATTCCGTCTTAACGCTGCTGTTACGTTCCAAACAAAAGTTGTTTTGTAATAGCATTTTATTAGTTCCTATGTGTTATTTTTTTTTTTTGCAATCAAATGTCAAGTCACATCTTTATTTCAAGGCAAAGAACTTGTTAACAGGATTCTTCTACCTGGGGTTCTATACACAGATGTGTCTTTCATAGCTTGTTAAAAAACCATCAGTCCTACTCTACATAATAGCCAAATGTTAGTCTCAGCCACTACTGTTGTGCAAAGGTTTAACTTTTTCAATGTAAGCATTTGTAGTCTACAGATTAACTTCAGAGACCAAATATTTCTTGCAAATGCAATGAAATTTAATTGTTACTAAACAGGTCCCCTCTGATCTACTAGCATCCTTTTTTCCATGTACAGGGTAAGAAGACAGTTGAGTTTTTCATAAAGATTTAAAGAACTCTTCCAGGATGTGAGGTATATCCTCTTCTTTGTAATCTTTCACCACCACATTGTCATCAATTGCTCCTCGGATCATTGCAGAAAGAGCTAATAGAAAACAAACAAAAGTGACATATCTCACAATGTGATTGATGATAATACAGTATTAGTTTTAAAAAATGAGACCATCAACTTACATTTTCCACTATCAGGCCTAAACAGACACAGAATCTTCTTCTTGTTTTCTATTGCTCGCCCTATTTCATATCCCACTCCCAGGGAAGGCTGGGTAACTTCAGCAACTAATGCTGTAAAACAGAAATAAAGATCATTGTTTGGACTAAGAGAAAATATAAAGTAACCCTAGATTTTTATATCATAGTTAATAGAGCGGAATGGTTATGAAGTGCATCAGACTCTTTTGTTATATATTTATGAAATGTGTTCAGTAGCATTCCTATTATTTCGATCTTAGTGACTAATAAAAAATGCTGCATTAATTTATTCCGTTACAATTTCTGAACAAAGAAACAATTAAGACTTGTGCACCATCAGGGAGTTTCCAACCTCTGTTAGTATCCCCCAGTCTGCAGAGTATGGCAGGTGCATGTGCAAGTTTCTTTTAACAATGTATAAGTATTGAGGGCCTAAAAAAGGGCCTTGCACATGCAAGATCTCGTCGAGTTATGCGATGTTGTTAGATTTTCTGAAAATAGTTGTAAATAAAGATAGCTTACACACTTACCGTCAGATTTCAACAACCAAGCGACGTCCCGATCATGAATGAATTTATCACTACCTGAAATATACCAAGCAAACATGGAATTAATGCATCAGTCAATTCCAGCTGCGCCCAGCCCCCGCCCGGGCTACTGTGGGGCATTTGCCTGCCTTTTCAGTCCCGGGGATGGGACGCATTTGCAAATTTTGTACTTCCCGGTGGCCAGGCATTTACCAACCCCGGGGCTATTCCCGAGCTTTTTCAAGACACGCACGCAGTTTCCTATCAGCATACACAGAGGATATTACTGAAAAAAAAGCTGATTAGCTCATCTGTCAAGGACAGGGGGTTGTAATTGACTGATGCATAACTTTTTGAAAAAGAACAAAAACTTTCGATTTTATTTAAAAAAACAACATTTAGCCATCAAAAAAAAGGAAAAACAGTCGACAACAGTTTTAAAACCAAGCAAATTTGGGATTGAAAAAAGAAAACCAGGACAAAATTTTGCCTTGTCTCCACCATGACCTACAATTTATCACTTCCGGTCCGTCGATCTTCCGTGATGACAAAGCGCACCTCTACCAAACTCAAGCCAACACCACACTTAATCTCCCCAGAGAAGTTTAAAAAAGGTATTTTTATAATCAAAATTTTATTGGTCAACTTTAATGATGTGTATGGCATCATATTCACTTGATTGAACGAAACAACGCTCTGGGCGTGGTGGGTCGAAACGGGAGACGGAGCGGAGCTCTAGGCGTGGTGAGGTGAGGTAAGCAAGGAGCAGGGGGAGGAGACTTAGTTTATAACTCAAACAAAAGTGTTACGCAATGCAGTGCAAAAATCTGTAATTGCACTGGGTATTAGAGAGTTAGGGTGGAAAGAATGTCCTGTAGAGGCCACGTTGGACAAAGTAAGTGGTTGATCGTCATACCTTTCTCTTTTTCCATAAGGTTGGGATCTCCGATATGTTCCGTCAGAACCTCGCCGTATTGTTTTAGTTGATCTATTATACGCTTGTACAAAGCCGCATCATCTCTTCCGCCACGAATACTCCCACAAAAATAAATAAGTAGCTTTGCTGGTTCGCTCATAACTGCTATGAAATACGCTCTTCCTGCATAAATTGCCAGGCGTCTTTTTCGCGTCTCTGCCCCTCCCGAGCCCTCCCTGGTAGGGATGTCAGAAAAACTATAGAAAAACAAAATAAGCATAAGAAGGAGAGAACATGTAGGTAAGATTTAACCAATGAGGAGGCCCTTTTCTGTTAATGTGATTCTAGATATATGTAGCTTTTTTCAGATTTGTTGTTGTTGTTGTTGTCTGCCTTCACTTCGTATAGTTTTTCCTCTCCCCTACCCCGTTAGTAACAGTTCTTCAATAACTACTGCTCATTGCTGCTCACATCTTTTGGCTCACATCATGGCGGCTGCAAGACAACTTCCCGAGACCTTTCGTAAACTGGTTATCACCAAACTTTCCACCAATTACAGAGAAGCTGTGGAACTTAAGACTGTACCTATGCTGCAACCTGGACCAAATGAGCTACTCATTAAAAACAGGTGAAGAAAACAATGATGTTAATATGTACGAAATATGTAACTTACATGTAAGCTTAGTTGTTCATATTTTTATTTATGGGAGTCATCTTTGGAGTCCTTCCGTTGAAAATTCGCCTAATATTCCTTAATATTCCTCAATATTTTTTCCTGAAAGTTTGGACAGGGTGGTGTCTATTTCTTGAAAATATTTTCTTTTTGTAAAATTTTCTGATAGCCACTGTTAGGCTAAAACTTGTAAATTTCAAAGGCAATTAAGCTCATTGAATGAATGCGATTGACTATCATCTGAAGAATTACAGAGATCGAGGAGCGTGTGGACGAGGTGGATAACACCTTTTGGAGAACTCCTTAATTAATTATAATATATTCATTCATTCAAAATAATTCCTAGTTTAAAAACAAGCTAAAACATGCTTACCTCCATCAATGTTAAGTTTAGCTTCGACAGTGCATCGTAATTGGCAAGTTTAGGAGATATTAAGGGTTGGTCAGCTCCGCAAATATTCTACAAATAGCAGTTGTTGTCTTGCTGTTTTTTCAATGTTCTTAGCAATAGTTCCCCTATTTATTCCTATTTATTTTTAATCACTTCCCAACAACTCAACCATGTCCCCAGCTCTTTTCATTTAACAGTTCATTTATAATCTGGCAATTTGCTGCATGATTAACATCATTTTTCACATATCCTAAAATTCTTCCAAATGTGGATGACAATAGCTGGTTATGAATTATGCATGGTATTTAAGCCAATCAGAAATGGAGAAACATTTTGAATGAATAATAATAATTTCTTCTTCAAACCCTACTTTTCTGTTTAAGCTTAGAGTCTATGTTTTTGTTTTGTGTGTGTATGTTTTTTACTGTAATAATTACTCCAGATCTCCTTATTTCACTAAATGATTCACAAAATTTCTTAATACGTCTCCCTTCAAGGTATGTAGGAATCAATGCCACAGAAATCAACCATTCAGCTGGTCGATACCATCCGGGGCAGTCTCCTCCTTTAGAAGCCGGCTTAGAGGTAAGAGTTAAAAAAATCTGGAGCCAAGATCTCAGAAACCTATATACGATGGAACCCTGGCTTACTTCCACCTTGGTAATACGGCCACTTCGTTATTATGGCCACCTTGTTTTGGCCGCCCAGCAAAATGGCCATACATTTTCTTGTAAAGAAACCCTCGTTAATACTGTCACCTCGTAGTTATGGCCAATCTTTTTTTGGCCCGTTGGTGACCATATTAACAGGGTTCCACTGTATTACATGCCAACTCTCCAGGGTTATCCAGAATTCTCCATGGTATGGCACAAATCTTCAAGTCTTCTGTAGGTCAGCGAATCTCCCAGATGAAAATGAATTTTGAGTTCTGTGTGCTTTAGTTTGCAAGTTAGTCGATTACTCCCCAAAACTTTGAAATGTTTTTTATCATAGTATGGTTTCCATGGCTTTTTTGGACGTATTTTCATCTCTGACAAGACCATCTCGTCAAAAAAGCAAATTTTGATATTCTGAACTTCACGTAAGACTTTGTGTAATGTCCTGAGCCATCCCAATGTGTCATAATTTGGGACTGGGTCGATTTGTGTTGGTGGAGGGGGTGGGAGGGCAAGGGGGGAGTAAAAAGGGGGTGGTTGATGTTTGCAAAGTACGGCAAAAGAGACGGTCTCCCGATTTTAAATTATTCTCCAGAGGTTGGCATGTCTGGAAACTCATATTTCCATTGCCATATGAAAAAACACCTGCTGTTGTTTTTAAGGTTGGAAACGTGCCTTGTTTGGGTCGTCATTCATCTATAGTTTTGTAACCCAATAAAACATCTTGATCTTAGAGCTTGGTGGTGCCATCAGAAAATAACACAATACTTACACCAGTTTCCTCCTGTCCTAAAAAATTTTAGTTTACAAATGTTAACTGCTTGATTCGTTATTGTTCGTAGTTGGTTAAATGTTAGTCTTGACGCATGACTATTTTTACCGCTTGCAACTCCACCAGAGACCTGTCAATGATCTGTCAACAGCTGTTAAATTAACCAATCAGTTACTCTGTTTCTGGGCTGACAGAGGGTTTTTTACTTCAAGGACCATGTTTGCAATTCTGCAGGCTGAGATAAGTTCTAGATGGATTTTAAAAGAAGGGCGGACTGCCAGCAGTCTAGTTTGGGGCTCATGACATTGGTCATACATAACATTTTTCTTAATAGGGTATAGGAGAAGTGGTGTCAACAGGCGAGAAATGTACAGATGTTCCCATTGGTCAAGCTGTAGGATATTTTAAGTACGGAAGCTTCTCGGAATACATGGTTAGTGTTTGTTTTTAATCTACAAAATAATAATAAAAACTGTTGTGTCAAGCTTAGAGTATTTCGTGGCTTACCAGCTTCTCTGACTCTTGTCTAGCAATGGTACTTCTTTTGGTTGAAAACATTCCACCCTGAATTGGTCTTACATCTCCATACCATTACGTTGTGCTGGAAACGCTAATATTATAAAGTTGAAGTTTTTTATAGCAATCTTTGTTGACTTCTATCGGCGGCCTCCCTCTTAGACTTATGGAACCTTAGCCTAACTTAGCCTAAATAAAATCTATAGCCACATTTAAAACTCTCCACTTAGGATGTTTATTCCATGCACCTATTTTTTTTTTTTTTAATTTCCTTTTACACTTTTTCTTTAGACAATTCCTTCAAAACATGTGTTCCCCCTACCAAGAATAGATCCAGCTTATGTTTCCTTGCTAATCAGTGGACTGACTGCTGGTATTGCTCTTGAAAAGGTAAATGGAATATTTAGTGGCTTCTGTAATTAAACTTGCAGTATACTTAGTGGAAGATGCGCATGAGCTTGCTTCCCAAAGCTTTTATAGGTATCCAAAAATTATCCATCCATACCTTGTGGGTATAGGTGTATCACCCCACCCATCTGACAACTCTAGTTTCACTTTTTATCTTCTCCAACACTCACAGTTTGCAAAAGCCTGCTGACAATCAGTTCTAAATACGGTTGTGTCTGCGGGCTAAGTTTGTAATGATTGTCACTAAACAGCTGTTGATGATTCCTTGAAAACATAAGCATTTGATTTTCAGTAACGCAAAATTTTCTCTTACTATTATCAGGCATGCATTTTTTATTTTAAATTTATTGACCCTCTTAGCCCAGTTCCTCAAAAGATGGTTAAGTTTAACCAAGAGCCATAATATCGCATAATGGTTTAACCCAAGATTAAGACAAATTTGATGCACAGTCCTCTTGAACATGTAAGTTGAGCTTACAAATACTGTTGAGTCTTTACTCTGAGATACAGTAATGATAGCAACAAAAGTTACTCCAAGCAGAACATAGGAGGGTAAATACAAAAAGAGGAACAAAATTTTAATCCTGGATTAGCACTCTTTGAATTGGCCTTTTAGGAACCAGGTATAACGAAGTGTATTGAAGTACTTCTTCTCCTCAGGTTGGTGAAATTAAGAAGAATGAAACAGTTCTAGTGACAGGTAAATATAAACTAACAAACCTGAAATTTCCCCTTCCCCTATTAATGATCATTTATTATTATCTTGTGCATTGAAAAACTACTCAATCAAAGATAGAGCCTTCTTGACTATCTTAAGTTTCAGAAGCTGTGAATGAATAAAGTAATCTGACAGGCAGTGTCCTGAGCTGAGTTTCTTCTCAAATTTGATTTTCATGCAAGTTTTACTTTGAATTATATCCTCTCATTTTATCCTACAGCTGCAGCTGGTGGAACTGGTCAATTTGCGGTAAGTAAAAAAAAAATTAAAACCAAATGACACTTTCAAGAGCTCTTTGTAGCTTCATTGTTCTTCTCTGATGGAGACCATTATGACAAGGAAATCCTTGTGTTGCAGGTTCAACTCGCTAAATTGGCTGGATGTCATGTGATAGGCACGTGTTCAACAGATGCTAAAGGGGAGTTTTTAAAAGTAAGTCTTGATGTTTCTCCTGGGGCCTCTTTTCTCGAAGGTATCAGTTACTTGGGCTAGCAGGAAAGCTGTTAGATTGTCGCGTTTTCGAATTCAAGCTTAAAGTTTTAAATTTTATTTTACATTGTTAGAAAGATTTTTCCATAGAACAAGATGAAATATAAAGCTACCAAACATGACCCATTTGGTCAATCTGAAAACGAATGTTATAACCGAAATATGAGCTTATCGGAGTTCAAATACAAATGCCCCTCTAGTGCCACTGGAAAAGCGCATCAGATGACAAAGAGGACATACAAACTCTTCTTATAAAAGGGAGTTGAGTGCCTTCTTGACGCTGGGATGTGTAAGTTAATGTAAGTTTGTCCCATTCGCTTGCTCATGACATGCTCACAATCCTGCAGGACTGTAAGCAGTCTGTATGGCAACACCCATCGGAGATTAACATAACGTTTTTGAAACCATGTTTGACCCGCGCGAAAAAGCAAACAATGGCACTTGTAAAGCACGTTTCTATTTTCTTGTATATCTACAGCAACCGCACTTCATTTCCCGTGGATACGGATGAGATAATTGGAAAATACGTTATAGTAACATATTCATGTATATGTTTCTTGTTAGTCTCTTGGTTGTGACCGGCCAGTAAACTACAAGACTGAGAACCTGGATCAAGTACTGAAGAAAGAGTATCCCGTAAGTGTGAATCTGATGACATTTTTTCTTGCTAGCGGCTTTGTTCAGCACCTCTCGCTTCCGCAAACAGCAATTTTCCCTTCCCATCTTCCCCCGCGTACACGTGCTTTCTTTTTTCCCTTTCCCAACCTCACAAAGAGGCCTCTACGTACGAGAGATACATTCCAACTGAACTGCTTAGTACCGACGCTGTAATGACGGATTGCGGAGGTGTCGGTATGATAAAGGTAACAATGGCCTCTTTGAGTCTTTGCAGCTGGTCATTCACGTGGTACAAAACCGCCAAGCTGGAGGGCAAGAGATGCACTGGCACAAGTAGGCTTTTGTACATTATGCTAGCATTTTTTCGAGCATTTTAGTGAGGCAAAAGCATTGAGCATTATTCGAGCATTTTAGTGGCATTTTCCCCGGAAAATTAATTTTTCCGAGAAAATAAAACAGAAATTAACTTTTTCAGGAGCCCACGCCCCATGAGCTCCTGCTTTTTAAACAAAATGAAGACTAAAACTCAAAATTCACAAAAAACCTAATACAGCTGTTTTTTTGGCTGTATTTATGAACTTGTACACGTTGTCGTTGTTACTTGCAACACTTGCACGTTTTTGTAAGTGTAAACTTTGAAATTAATTAAAAAACCATTTGTATAATGAGCATTAACCGAGAATTTTAGTGCCTTTTTTGGGGAGACCAAGCATTTTAGTAGGAAAAGTGGAGCATTAAGGTGAAGCATTTTAGTAGGGAAGCAAAAAGCATAATGTACAAAAGCCTAGGCACAAGACAAACAATGGAAATTACCACTTTTAATATGATGTTATCTCTTTGTTTGTCTTGTCCCAGTGTTTCTCTTGACTCAGTACACTCGCGAAGCAATTGACTTCGAACAACATCTAACTTCATTTTCTAGACCCACATAAGGAGATATATCGCGGCGGAGGCAACGAGATCAACTCTGCTAAGTATCGCGTTAGTAATAAGTACATTTTATTCGACGCTCCTTAAACAACTACGCAAGTCAGCACAAGACATCTGATGGAGATTTTATATCTCTTTCTAGACTTGGCATAGGTGCCGTCCCTACGTTGATTTAACCCCAGAAAAATTCGTTCATATTCGACAATTAAAACACATCAGAATAATCGTAATGAAGGTGTTAAAAAATGCAACGTTTTCATTGCTGTCGTCACTTGTGTTATTTGCCTTCTGGCAAATGTCGTCGTCTCCGTCAGTCTCGAAGGAGAATGGACTGCGCCGGAAATGTCAGTTCGCTGCGGAGCAGCGTTATTTGCCTTCTAGCGGAGCAGTGTTATTTCCTTTCTAGAAAATGTCGTCGTCTCCGTCTGTCTCGAAGGAGAATGGACTGCGCCGGAAATGTCAGTTTGCTGCGGAGCAGCGTTATTTGCCTTCTAGCGGAGCAGTGTTATTTCCCTTCTAGAAAATGTCGTCGTCTCCGTCTGTCTCGAAAGACAATGAACTGCGCCGGAAATGTCAGTTTTCTGCGGAGCAGCGTCGACTGTGACTCTTAAGTCCAATTCTGGAAAGGCAGTCTTTGTCACAGTTGCTGTAAGTATGGGGTGTTGGTAGCGAGGGTGCTGAAGCTACCCTCGCTCTTTGTCGCTCCCTTTTGTCGTGACACTGATCTTCCCTCCTGGCTCCTGCTCTCCTCGCCCCTGTGCGCGCCACGTGACGCCAGTTGCTGCAGTCAGCTGCGGCTTCTAACAAAAGTAGAACATCGATTCAGAGATAATAGATAATTTCCTTTCTGTGCGTGTTTGACGTTGTAGAACGGATGCGATGTGGTTTACGAATCCATAGGAGGAGAAATGTTTGATACCTGTGTCAATAGGTAAGCATCATGCTCCATTAAATTAAATTATTTCTCTCCTATTTGAACACAGGTAGCCCCAGATCGAAATATGAGCATCGGCGTTGTCGCGTAATCTACTTCAAAATATAACGATGTTTGTGCTCTCTATAATTCTCCACCACAGGCATACCAGTGTAAAATAACTCAATCAACAGGTGTGGCAACCCAAATGCAGCTCAAGGTTTTATTTGGCAATAAATCGCATAGCCGCCCGGACTGTAAGAGAGAAAAATAACAACAAAGTCGAGTCTTTTTCGACGTTATTTTTGATGTGTACCCTCGCGTGGATAACAGAGAAAGAGCTGGAGCGAGTGATTGCAAACAAAGGAGACTAATTTCGTTGCAAGAAAAACATGAAAATGTCATAGCGGCGGTGAGAAAATGAGATATGCTAGCGGCCAGCCAGGTGAAAATGAGCGGCAGTGAAAAAATTAAAAGCGAACAGGAACACAAGCAACAAAATTTTTGGTGAGCTCGTGCGATAACCAGGAAGTTTCACGTTTTAGTCGTGCAAAACAACAGCAAAGAAATGTACAAAAAAGTGTGCTGCACGTGCAAATTTGTTTTAGTGCTCTGAATATAGACTATTTGATTTCATTCTCATTGCCGTCCCCGTTTAACAGTACACGATTTATTTTTTGGTTATAAGTATATTAACCAGAGCTTAGCCCTGCCTATATCTATATATTATTATATGTGGGTTGATTCTTGTAAGTTTTTTAGTCTATGCCTCAACCAAGGCGGATTCTTTTGATTGTTCTTAGGTTTCTGTTATTAAACCTTCTTGCCAAACCTCAAATTTAGTACAAATAAAACTCCTGAGGATAGTTCTAGGTACCATGCCACCCAGACTCGTAATGTTTGTTGCTTTGTTTTTTGTCAAATTAGATTGGCGACGAAAGGCCGTTTGGTGACCATTGGTTTCATCACTGGCTACAAATCCAAACTGGGATTTTCTCCAGTCAAAAACGCTACTTTAATCCCTAAGGTAAGAGAGAAAATCTCCAAACAAGTCAATAGCTTACACAATAAGGTCAATAAGCGACAGTTATTGCTAATAAAGGATTAAATTAGCTGCAAAAACCGTGGACGAAGATCCTGCTAGTTGTAAACGTTGGATCTCTAGAAAAGAGATCAAATCAGCCAAAATATAAAGAACCAAGAACAAGAAGTCCAAAGACTACTGCAAAGCTGATTTAAAACAACGTATATTGTTTTTTATAACAATATCTCGGCTGGCCATACCAGCCTTCTTCAGGTTTACAGATGTTACTGAACTTATGTAGCAATCACAATATTATATAAATGGAGAATGTCGCAATAAAAGGGAGAGGCGGAAATGACGTACAACATAAAAACTGGAAAGGAAAAATACTATGGATATGGATTAAAATAATTCGTCACGGCGGTTTAGGCCATGAGGTTCAACAGTCATGGCCGTATCTATCAAATGCGATAGATAAGGCCATTTTGATAAATAAGGCCAAGAAAGAAACGGTGATGAGAAAGATAGATAAGAAATGTGATAGATAAGGCTGCTAGTACAGATAGACAAACAAGAAGACTTCATATCTTTAAGATTTTTGCGTTTATTTAGCATCAGATAATACACTAATAATTCTAGTATATCCCGACCAAATGACCTCTGAAGCCCGAACCCACACATAGTGCGCTTGGGCTGCCTGTGCTAGAACAGCAAAACTACGGTTTCAAGCCAATGAATTCTGTGGCTGGAATGGGGGATGTTTGTAAAAGATATGGATCACTACAAAAAAGAACAATATAAAAGAAACAAAAGCAGACTGATAATAAAAACACAATCTAGAGTCTATCCATTACAAAAGCTTTGAATCCTAAGTCCTTGTTGTGTTTCTCGCACTCCCAGCTTTTGACCCGATCCGCAAGTGTTCGTGGATTCTTGTTATTTCACTACATGGAGGAGTACAAACCAACCGTAGATAAGCTGGTGAACTTGTACGACAGTGGAAAGTTAAAATGCAATATCGACTTTGGACGAAGCTCATTGTCTGGTGGGTTCAAAGGCCTGGACTCGGTAGTTGATGCGGTTGAGGTATGAGTGTTTGATGTGATGTGTTAGCCAGATTTATTCCAGTCACTGCAAAAACGATTATCTCTTCGCTTAGTTTCTTCGGCTTTGTGTTTTTAAGTTTGGGGAAAAAGGCGGAGCAGCTCGCGACAACGGGTAACTGCGAAGTCACGTGCAGTGCACACACTTAAGTCCAACTAAAGCCGCATTTACCACAGGTAGCCCAAGCTCGAATTATAAGTATTGACAGTTTCGAGCATGGTCTACCTGTGCATTTACACTACAAAGTTGTCTAGGAAAAACGTGTTACTCTCAAACTCAAAAGACATGAACACTTGAGGTATTTCAGGAATGTTTATTGTGGTACGACCAATCACATCAAAGATACAGTAAGGAAAACTTACTCATGTAAATAATGCAAACCAAACATTTTGATAACCCTCTTACACAGGCAAGTTTTTGTCATGGAGAACTTAACCTTGTAAAGGGGCTTACATTTGCAAGTTTTTCTTTACAATCTTCTCCATGCATGTCAAAAAAAAACTCGCTCACATCAACTCGGATTGACATGTGACGGGTTGTAACTAGCGAAGACAAAATCACAGTGCTGCATGTCCGCGCAGACTCGAAAGTGGAACCGAGGTTAAGCACAATTACTGGCAGTCAATAAGTAGTAGAGAGTTTGTGATCTACATCACAGAAAACTGCATCGTTAGAGAAACAGTTACGAGTACGAATTCACTATATTTAAGTGACGTTTTCGCTACCGTCGTGGTTGCTTAAGCTCTTTATTTAAAAGTAGAAGCGCACACATTAAGGGTGTGTTTATATGGGGTGGACCAGCCCGGCCTGCTTTACCGGGCTAGTTCGGCTCATGCCTTGTTTCCCCATAAAACTTTCATTGTGTTTTATATGAGAAGGCGGGCTGGCCCGGTTTGTTGCGGTTGTTCGAGCCGAGACTTCGGCAAGCAGGCGAGCCCGCCTCCTCGCATAAACACAATGAAACTCCCCTTTAAGAAGAAGCAAGGCATGAGCCGAGTTAGGCCGGCTAACCAGGCTGGCTCATTTAACAGGCCCTAACATATACCAACGGACTTGCCCATGCAACGTGTAAAAAAGGGATTTTTCTTCTCTTGTCGTTGTATCAAGTTTGTGAATTAAGTGTCTCCAGTTTGGTCCAGGAATTACCATCAGGTTAATTGTTTTTGTTTTGTTTTGTTTTGTCTCTCTCCAGTATCTGCATAGCGGGAAAAGTTCTGGCAAAGTTGTAGTTGAACTACCTGATGACGTCAAAAGCCGTTTATGAAAGCCGGTGTCTACCATATAGTAGTCTACATATAATGATCCTGCCAACAGATAAACGGAACTTACGATGGCCCTTGAGCTAATGCCCAAAACTGAAAAGATGTGAATCCTTTCGAGCTATAACTTGGAACATATGAACGCATTTGACTTTATCATGATTTAATACTTGCACCTTGGATGACCTTGCTTGTTCATAATTTCCCACCTACAGACCGTGCTTGTTTTCCAAACAGTGAACTAGGACTACAGTCGACTCCCCATAGCTCGAACCTCCTAGGGAAATCGAAGAAAGTTAGAGTTAGCGGGAGCTTGAGTTATCGGGAGTTATCGGGTGAAAATAACCGCAAATAAGAAAAAAAGCAGATGAATGGGGAGGGAGAAATAGATTGATATTTTGAAAAAGGAATTAAGTTGCAAAGTTTGAGTAATATCTTAGGGATGGACACAGAATTTGAACTGGAGCTACAAAAAAGTAAAAACAACTAAAGAATTCACACGGTTGTTTAAAAATGAACTCAAAATTTCGGACTTCATTGCACTGTTCTTTTTTTCTTTCGATTTGTCATAAGCTTAAAACTTGGCTCGAGTTATCGAGGGTGAAATTATATAGAAATGATATGAAGGGAAACAAAAATTACTTCGAGTTAGCGGGAGGTTCGAGTTACCGAGTGTAAAATCACAGTAAATGTATGAAGGAAAACCAGGGGAAATCGACTTTGGTTCGAGTTAACACGAGGTTCGATTTAGCTAGGGTTCGAGTAATCGGGAGTGAACTGTAGCCTAAAATTGAGGGTAGATTTTGCGCGAATTTCATTTGAAAGACATCTACTTTTGAAAACCCTCGGCTAGAGAGGGAGGTGTATGTACACGAAGAATGCGTAAATGGTTTCGTCTTACAACTTATAGCCTGCTCTCGTCTCGCGCTTGGCGCAAAATGCCGCGTTCGCCTCGCTTGGCTCATAGAGCGCCTGTTATGCAGGCTATACAACTTATAATTACATGCCCTATTCGATTCCCCTGTCGATTCTTCTAATATTTAATTCTTTTTTCAGTCGTTTCTTCGTGAACGTTGCATCCACCGTCACTCTCTTAAATATAATAATGAATTAGCGCTTTTATTCAGCTAATTTTTCCCTGCTAGCAGAAGCGAATTTATTTTTATTTCTCATGTTACCAAGTGTGCCATAATAGTTTTTTGGCCTCGCGGACAGGTGTAATCACCATATGACTTAATACAAAAAACTGAAAAGGTACTAAACAATCAGCACCCTTACCGTAACCAACCTTGTTCCCACAATAGCGTTCCTGTTGGTAACTAGCATTCAGAGCGAAGCACTCGCAAACACTGAAAACTGCTAACCGTTGGTTAACAGGTTACTGCTAAACTCGGGCCCTGTCAGTTTTTTTTTTATGTAAATTATATTTTCGTACTTATTAAGAAGTACATAATAATTTATAAAGAGAGGCAATAAAGGAAATGAGGAAATGAACTGGGTATGAGACCTCACGAGTCAACGTGCGATCACGTTGGATACCAGACTCGTACCCAGTCGCTTCTCTGTATGCGCTGTGATTAATAGAAGGGTTTAAGTGAGTTCGCGGTGCTTTAAAGGGAAGGAAGGAGGAAAATCGCGAATTAAGCTCTCTCTCCCTCCCAAGCGCCTTTACGCGCGTCAAATTGCCTTTCCATATTCCTTTGCAAGGATAAATGTGTGGCGACTGGGTACGAGTCTTGGTGGTTACTGTAAACTACTGTAGCTCTATTTAGCTACCGTCTGTTCGCATGAGTGAGAACAGGAGCCCATCAAATTTGATGGGCTCCTGGTGAGAAACAGCGCGCGCTCGTTCGTTCGACTGGTTAAAAAGCAGGGGGGGGGTGGTGAACTTGGTAGTTTGTTTGTCCGGACGATCTTGGCCATCGTGACGTCACGAAGAGAGAAGCGCGCAACTTCGAGGAGTTTTCGAAAATGGCGCCGTTGTCATTTCCAAATGCTACTTTTAAAGTTGGTTTTCCTGGATATTGACGCTCCAAAATGGTTTTTGTCACGGTAGGATAGTGCAATTCCAACATCTCTTTCCGAAAAGGTGAGTGAAATGTGTATTAATCCGAAAAATAACGCGTATGAGAGCTGTAAACAGTTTCGGTCAATTTCCTCGAGTGGAATAATGTGCCGCAAAAGTTTGCATGTTCGCACAGTAATATCGCATTTTCTCGAAATCGGTGAGGTGTTGAACATCGAAACTCGGCATAAGGGTGGGTTACTTCTATTGGAAAACATTGTCTCTGAAGTTAATTGAGATAAACTTGCAGAAAAAATGATCAGTCCATTCGAGTGTGCCAGCGTAGCCTCTAAGCTGATGCAATGGTGTTCATTACTTTGCTTTTATCTCCAATAATGCCGATAGTATCACCTATTCAAGCCGTCTTTTCGGGATAAGTAAATTTTAAAGTAGTTTCTGATAGAGGGAAAGTATAGTTGCAACAGCTCTTTCCGAGAAGGAGAGTTAATTGTATTATATTCTTATGATAATTACCTCGTAAACAATCTAAACAGTTTAAGCCAATTTTTTCCAGTGGAATATTTGTCGCAGAAATTTGCATGATCGCATATTAACATCGCATGTCTTAGAAAATCGGTTTGGTGTGGAAATTCGAAACTTGGCAGAAGGGTAGATCAGCAATAGTGGAAAACATTGTCCTTGATGTTTAATGGGAGAAATTAGCAGTAAAAATGATCAGTCCATTCGAGTGCGCTTAATATTGATATAAAGAGATGACCTCGACTCGGTTACCCCGGTGTCACAGTGATATGTGTATCCCCGTGATATGTGTATCCCCATACACATATCCCTAGTGATATGTGTATCCCGGGTGGGGATACAATAAACACTGATGCTCATCCACGAAACAATAAGGAAATATCTTCTCTTGCTAAAGGAAATGTCATCGATATCATCTAACATAACTAGTAACACAACTATTACTAGGGTTAAGACAGGAATCAAACAACATGCAAAGGTGGAATATTGTGGCGCTCGCAGAAGGATACACATATCACTGAACCGGTGCAGCGATATGTGTATCCCCTGTTTTTTCTTCTCTTGCTAAAGGAAATATCGTCCATATAATCTATCAGAACAGCTAGTAATACAACTAGGTTTACAGGAATCAAGCAACTTAAAAGGTGGATTATTATGGTGCTTGCACGGTGGGATACACATATCACTGGACCAGCGCAGAGATATGTGTATCCCCTCTCTATTTTTTGACTTTTCGAGTTATCCCTTGCTGAATGAAATTTTGTCAGTCATACTTATTTAACGCGACTAGTGACATATGAATTATAATCACGTTGGATAAGGAGAGGAGCGAGAACGAATGTTTACATCAACATTGCGGCCCACGAAGAAGTAAACTCGCCAGAGACAGCTTTGCGATTATTTTGTCTCGAATCGTTGTTCTTTTGTCGATTGTGTTGCTCGTAATCTTGAGTCATTTGTAGTCCCTTTAACGATGATTCGCAAAATTCACAAAAACAACAGAAATAAAACCGACACTTGTTTGGAGGGGTGGGGGGTAGGGGATACACATTTCACTGGCAGCCATATTGGAGGGATACACATATCACTAGGGATATGTGTACGGGGATACACATATCACGGGGATACACATATCACTGTGACACCGGCACAATGTAAGTCAATTATTTTTCGGTTTTAAGAAAAAGTAAACCAAAGACTTCCCTCAACACTATGTATCTATAATAATTACACCAGGAATATATATATTTTTAACACTTGAAGGTTGTACGATATTGTTGAAGCAAAGGATATTTCTCTGTAATACCTATAAGCTTACATTAAGTTTTCATAAATAGCAAAAAAAATTAATAAGATTTACATACAACTCCAAACATGTACATCTGTTATGCATGAAGCAATTTCATATCGTTCCATATCAATAGTTAGTGCGATTGGAGTCAGACATGTACAGTGAAACTTGTATAATGTAAGCGGACACCGCAGAGAATGCTGTAGTGCCCACTTAATACAAAGTTTCTTCCTACTACATACAGGTTTCGATAGAAAATGTCATTTGAGGCAGACCTGCCAACTCTCACAATTCTGCCGTGAGTCTCACGATTTTTTAACTTTTCTCACGGTCTCACGACAAGACTCCCAATCTCATGGTTTTCTGGGAAATATTCTAAATTGAAATATTACCTTGTTGAATAAAAACATAAATTTTGTGGGGAAATTCTTGTGCCTGGATAAGCTTTGACTATTTTAGCCATGAAGTTGTCTTAGCCCAAAGAAATGACTCTGCTGTATGTTTCGTCACAGTGATAACCTATTTTCTGGCCTCTTAAAGTCATCAAAGAAAAAGCGGCATCTAATTTGTTACATAAGGGACCACACTAAAGCAAGGTTATATTAAAATAAACAGTTGATTCCACTAATGGAAAAGGGGTAGTTTAATTTTGATCAGGAAAAAATAGAATCTCACTACTTTTTGTAGAATCTCCCGATTTTTTTTCATGAGTTTACAGATTTTCCTTATTAGGGGTTGGCAGGTCTGTATGAGGAGCTAAGTACCATTCAAATAAAAGGCGGAAACATTTGGAATACTTCCAGAGATATGATGATATATGTTTGCGTTAATATCTTTATTTGTGTGGAGCAATTAATTAAACCTGGATTGTACCTCAAATTTTAAGATATCAAATGAGTGAAACAAGCTTTATACAAACAAAAATGAAATGAGAAAGTACTGTAACTCATTTATATAATTTACAGAAGTCCCCTGGTGACACCAGCCAAGTGCTGATAGGGCAAGACTCCCAATCTCATGGTTTTCTGGGAAAGCAAAAGGTATCTTAAAATAACAAAAGGCACATAGAGCTCAACCGAATGGTACCATAATGACGTCAACACGTATGGAAACAGGCCTTTTCTCCGAAACCTGCCCCATTCTCCTATGGCTATTTTTATTTGCATTTACCGTACCTCACCTCCCCTCCCCATACCTGATGAAACAAGGCTTTCAACACTTTGTTGAGAAAGGATGCTTTTTGTTTTAAAGGATGAGCTCATCATATTTTATTATCGTAGAGATGGGGGTAAGATAAGTTAACAATAATAGACAGATTATTATAGGTGGGTTACTCATTTTTACAGCTATCCCTGGAAGAAGAAATGGAAGTAAGGAGCTGACTGACAGCCACTGAGATTGAGCTGAGGAGAAAGGAAATTGAAAGAGAAGAGAAAGAGTTGAAAAGAAAAGAAGAAAGGTTAAAACAAAAAGCAAAAGAAATTAAAAACACAGTAATAGAGGCGAAGCGGGTAGCTGCCCAACTGCAACGAATGGCAGGGCAGCTAGACTGCTTGGCTAACCAAATTCTAGAAGAGACCAAAAATTAAAGAAGAAGTAAAAGAAAAACACCAGTGTAAGAAAATTTTATTGATAACAAACCGTTTCTTTTAATCAAAGTCAATGTGCAAAGTTTTTAAATGTAAACAAGTGTAAGTCAGACCTGTTATGCAAGAAAGAAAACACATTTGTTCAGTATATAAAAAATAAAAGGAAACTGGTTCTTCTAATTTCTTGTATCCTGTATGGTCTCTTCTTGCTCCATGGAATCCACTCCATCTAACATCCTCCACTTCCCACACCACACGACTCTCTTCGTGGAATCTATTATACTAGATCTTTACAGACATCCAGTAAGCAGCACCTCCTCCATCATACACTGCTTGTTTTTTCTCATCATCTACAGAGTATTCCCAACTAAGGAAGCACCTAATTATAAAATCAGTCAGATAAAAAGAGATTATTTATATATACAAAAGTCAAAACAAAATAAATAAAGGCAATGTTATCACTTAAAATCCCTAATTATTTGTTAAGCATCTCTTAAATCAGATGTTATAATGGTTTTCCTCACCTACTCCCTAAACTTCAGATTAATATAGGTGAGTTAAACCACAAACACCACCCCCGCCCCCCCCAAGCAATGGTAAAAAAATATGTCTCCCTTGAATTATAAATTTTTGCAACTTCAAGCAACCTATCAGGATAATGCAAAGACTGATTTCTAATCTTAAACCAATAGCTAAAAGGCAAGGCTATGTGAAATATATCAGCAGAGGCAGTACAACAGCAAATTTTAAAGAGGGGCTTTAGAGCTAGTCATGGAACGATTGGGTCTTTACTAAGTTACGCCTACTGAGAAATTACCACAAAGCTACATCAGCTGGGTGATAAAACTGTATGAGCAGGCCCCGAAGATTGTTGGAACTGGACAGTGTCACTTGATGTAACTGACAATAGCATGGAGTCCAAGTAAGTTAAAAAGCATCAATGATTGAAAATTAAACTGATGCCCCTGCACTCCCACTCCCAGTGGATCCCCTGCCTTGACATTACCTAATAAACATACATTGATACTCGTGTCATTTTCTGAACTCGTGTAGTTATTGAACTATATTGTCATTCTTGAACTTTGGTGTCTTTATTGAACTACACAAAAAGGAAAACCGAAAAAAATGTATCTTTAAAGAAGTCTCTTTTTATATTGTAAAAGTGGGAGAAGGATGATGATATTCATCGCATGAAAATCCTGCAATTTTTTATATCCTTAGAAGTTTTTTCCCCCACCTCATTTTTTAAGATGCGGACGCCCGAGGAAACACATTTTCAATATTACACCATTGAAACGCTTACCAGTGTTACCTAGTTTTTTTTTTCTATTAACTCTGTAAAGAGATTAAGGCAAAGCTACATACCCATCCTTTCTGCGGATTCTCCTCCTGGACTCTCTGCATAAAGCCCTAAAAATGTTGATGTTGATCAAAAAGTTTAGCTCACGGCACTTTACCCCAGTGATGGATTCTGTTTGACTATGTACAGGATAAAAACCATGTTTTCCTTTGTTTGTGGGGCGAAGAAGCAAAGAGAAAGGCAATGTGAACTTATCTCCATCATGAGCAATGAATGTTTCGACAAAATGATCGTAATTTATAGTGAAAAGTTGCAATACAATAAGCTATAATAATATCCTTGGTTATCGCCCGACGATTTGATTCAATACGCTTTATTAACATTTAGATACGTTTGACTCAAACAGGAAATCCTTTCAAAACCCTTGAAGATTATAGCCCATATTCTATAAAAAAAAAAACACTTGCTTCTTACATTTGTTTAGTTTTAATGAATTGTTTACACAATTTGATAGTGTAGTATTAACATCATGACGCTATGTTTCGTGACCTGTCCACGCCACTTTCGCAATTTTTGTAAACATCCCTGAGGTTTGCGACTTTTATCCCACTGATCATTTTTGCTAACTTATTAGATGACTCACTTCTATCACTAATTGAGAGACCCATACCATATTAACGTCATTTGTTTTTCTCGAGACTAAATTCTGCTGGGCTCTTTAGTTATGCGTCTCTAAAGACGCGCCGGTATGAGTTGTACCATTTGGTCGATCTCGGGAAGTTCTTGATTTTTTACGATGGAAATGCTCTTTCTTAGAATATATTGCAATTTTACTATATAGCATTAATAGATAAACACATACCTTCGGTCGTTTCATCGCAACGTCGCGACTTTTACCTCTTGAAACCACGAAACAATTTCGCTCGCTGAATCCATTCAAAGTTCCCGGGATAAATTTCTCGTGACGTCACGATGGCCAATATCATCCGCCGGGGGATCGCACGGCATTGTGGGTAGGCGGGCTCAGAAAAGTGGGCATCAACTTGCAGCTTCGCCATATTGGATTACACGTGCAGGAATATAGAAAATACAGTTGGACTGAGATAAGTGGGCATCAAATCCTTGTTTGGTCGCCATCTCTGCTTGTTTGAAGTTGTTTCGCTTGATTTATTACCCTTTGTATTCACAATCGAATCGAAACGAGACTCACTTACAGAAACTCCAGTGAGAAGGCCAAAACAGGTAAGGAGTCGTATTTCTGTTCTGTTTTGTTTTTATCTCCTAACTAAATAAATGGACAGAAGTCGGAGCAGAGGTGAAGCTCTGATAGTTGAATACGTTTTAACTTTTTATTTATTTTGTTATAATGTAGGTGTGACATGAGTCGTGAAGAGCTGCCTTTCGAGGTTATCCAGACATGGAAACCTGAGCAACTGAAAGAGTTCTGTCGCAAGCGGGACTTGAAGGTTTCAGGAACCAAAGCTGAACTTGTAGCCCGCGTATTTGCCGCGGCAGAAATGGGCATTTCCATCAAGCCAACTGCTCTGGAACGAATTGCTACTACCGAAAAAGAGAAGGCAAAATTACTCATAATGCCAAACGGGACCTCAGTTCCAGATCCTTTGACACTGAAGGATGGCTGGGTGAAGGAAAGCGAGAGCCTGACTTCTTGGCCGCCGATATACCTGAGTGATATAACATTGTTTTTGATGAGGGAAGGATGTTGACTTCCACAAACGCGTCCTAAATGAATACAAAGAAGGGAAGGCGTATCGTTTGTTTGACTCTGGCTGGTTGAAAGAGATATCATATCATAAAATCACGGATGACTCGGAATGTTGCTTTTTAAAAGCAAAATGCACTCATTCCATGAAAATATCGGATACACCGCATTCTGCATGGATTTGTGCGAACAAGAATAATGGCTTTATAGTCAATGCCTACTGTACATGTGTTGCTGGGTTTGTATTACCAAGATAGATAAAAGTGGACATAAATTAGTATTAATTTGTAGGGTCAAACCCTATTTTTCATATCATTTCATAGTTTCATGTTACTGGTGTGATGGTGCTATATGGTGGTAGGGACTCAACCATGGAATTAAAAAGGGTACAAGCTCCTTGAAACTAAGAGAGAGTCATGGTATAGTATAAACCAACTAGTGGTCTATTACAAATCCTTTATTCTGATTGAGAGTGAGCAACTAATGGCCTATTAATGATAGACCGTGCCTGGCAAAACCACCTGCTTTCTTGCAATTTGATTTTTTTTCAACACAAAATAATGGTATCCACACTCACAAACAGATTAACTTGTTGGTCTATACTAAAACAATTAGAATTTGCATCTTTTTGTGGTATTGGCCTCTGGCCCTGTGGTACATTTGTCATATAGCACATTCTGACTTGAGGTCTAATTATTAAATAATAGGGAGATGAATTTCACAAAACTAGGAGCAGGGCAATATTATTCTTGAACCCCCCAACAGTGTTGAGGTTTTTAGATGCTACATGATTATTTTCATTCCCTTTTTTATAATTTCAGAATGAGCAGCTCTTGTATTCACATCACAGCATTGCTGTTTAGAGTTGAGGCAAACTTTTATAGAGTATTCACTAAAGTAGAATCAATGAAAGTCAATGAAGAAAATAGTGCCGATAAACTTGTTGATAGCTTATTGGGAAAAGCTAAACCACCTACAAATTTACCAGCTCTTAAATATGGCAGAGATATGGGACCATTGCAGTTAAGGAACTCATCAAATACTTCAAAAAACACCACAAGGATGTTAGGTATAGAGAATGTGGTATCTTTATTGATAAAACTAAACAGTACATGGGAGCATCCCCAGACTTACTGATAGAGTGCTCTTGTTGTGGGGAAGCAGTAGTAGAGATCAAGAACCCTTTTAGCATTGCCAATGAAATTCCCTCAGCACATAATCTGTCATACTTATGTATGTGTAATGGACAAGTAGCTTTAAAGCAGCAGCATCTGTACTTTGCACAGGTTCAGGGTGAGATGGCTATAACAAAGAGGCAAGTGGGCTATTTCTTTGTATACACACAAAAGGGCTATCACTTGGAAACAATCAGATTTAATGCCACATACTGGCATAGGCTTGAAGAAAATCTAACCTGGTTTTATAGTAATTGTCTTTCACCAGCCCTGAAACTACTGCGAAAATAAATTGTTTAAAAAAATACCTAGAAAATGGATCTGACTGATTATATAAACAGGCAATCATATTTCCATGGAGCCTGCACAATATAATTGAACAACTACATGTATTATTGTATTGCTTTATTTGATCCTTGATATCTAATATCAAAAGTATAAAACATTCATCAAGTTGTTAATAAAAAAATTGCTTCCTACACTGATTACACTGGTGTTATTAAGACATCAACATAAATTTTGTATTACTGGGGTAGCCAGGGTTTTGTCAAAAGGGGCTCAAAGGGGCCCAAGGCTTAAAAGGGAGAGGCCCGAGCTTTTTCTGGACTTGATTGTCCCATATATTTATTATATATTACTTTTCAGAGAGGTGGGCCAGGCCCTTTAGTCCCCCCCTGGCTAAGCCCCTGTTTATGCATATTTGTGGTAATGTCATCCTACCAGTGCAAGGAAATCAGTTTCACTAAACCTGTGAACATACTATTGATATCTTGAATTGTGTTATTCCAGAAGAGGCAGAAAAAGCCCATACCCAAACCATGGAGGGAATTATTTTTCAAACGATCCCCCAACCCCTAAGGAATTAGTGTTTTTATGGATGTTTATCTCCTATAAAACAGGTGGCAAATTGACCCCCCTGGAATTTCCAATTTCCCTCCATAGTGGGTGTATGGATTTTCTCGTGAATTACACATTTGACTCTATATCTTGTGCCAAAAATAACGTGTTACTTGCAAAGAGGCTTGTACAAATTGCATAATGCAGCACAGACAATGATAATGTTATCAAGATTACCAATAAGAGAGATGGGCAGTTCGTTCTTGAATTTTCATTAATTTCATACCAGCCATAGACATAGCAATGGTCGTGAATTACGGATGCTCTGTCTATGTCAACACAATCATTGATAGAAGTAGAGGGCTCAGGGTCTTGGAGCTCCACATCATCACAAGCCAGGTTGTCAGCTGAGTGGTCAAGAACAGGTGCCGGTATTTCATCGCTACATGTATCTAGCTTAGCTCGTTTTCTAAATCTTACTGCAAGAGAGTTATCCCGTGGCGTTGGTGGTGGGCGTTTGGAGGCTCTCGTTTTCTTGCTGTGACCAAGTTGCAAAGTTGGGTCTGGGTTTTCAGCCGTTGGTTCACCGTCAACGAAGTGTAGATTACAAACTCTTGAATCCTTGTTAGGCATCCAAAGAGTCCATTCAAACTGTTCCTGCTTATATTTTTTGCCCATTGTAATCGGCGTTCCGGGTTCTTCTTTTCTGTCGGGAACGGGAGTAATTTGAAGGGTGGCTGGCAGTCACACATGCTTGAACCATTGTTACAACCATGAAGCTCACAGGTCGTAGCTGCCCACTTCCCAAGCCTCTGTCCACTGTTGGGACAGCCTAGGACCACAAAATTTCTGTGGCCGAATCCCATGGACAAAGTTAATCTACATTTAAACAAAAGAAATACGACATAAGTCTGAGTATAAAATAAGCAAAAATCATACTCGTACCATCTCAAATCGACTACACTCTACAGCCTAAAATCGTTAGAATGACGTTGCCAAGAGGTAATGAAACAATAGCTTACCTTTAAAATACCTTTTATTTGGTTCTTCTTATAAATTCCTGCACGTGTAATTCGATGTAATTCCACTCGATGTAATCCAATATGGCGAAGCTGCAAGTTGATGCCCACTTTTCTGAGCCCGCCTACCCACAATGCCGTGCGATCCAACAGGAAGTCCAGAACTCCTGATGCATGTATAGGAGCGATTGACGAGTTCATCACCCCCCCTGTTAAAAAGCTATTGTGCCCATCCAAACAGCTGACCAAAGTGATGGCAGTCGCTTGTAAATACTACGTTCCGTTTGGTCAGCGCCATGATTGAGCAAACTCGCGGTTTCCATGGACACGTTTTTGTTTTTTAAAAAGGGCAACTTACAGTAAATACTAATTAGTACGAAACCTGCACTTACTTTCGGCTATAAGTGCACCACACCAGCGTGAATTCGACAGAAGAGTTTAATAAAACTTCTTTTTGGTTCCAAAGTGTATATAAACTTTCCCTTGTTTTTGCAAAGTTTATCAAAATGTGCTTTTAAAAAGTACGAAAAAAAACAACAACAACAAACGTTTCGCGGAATGCTCCCTCTTCCTCAGGGTTTTAAAGCAACTTTCCTAGCCAGTTCTAGATCTATTTTTTTCTGTTTAGGTTTTTCGTAGTTATGTCCCCTCTCCTTCATCCCTACATTCAAACTGGATGGTTTAATGTTCTCTTGTGACGTCGAAAATGCTCTTTACTTTTCTTTACTTTTTCTTTAAAACAAAAAGCAGCTTACCTTTCTTCATAACATGTTCCCTTAAAATATCGAAAAACACTTTGTAAAGCAAAAAAGGTATGAACAAACGACCCTATAACTGGACTCTTCATCGCTGATCTGTACTTAGCATTCAACGAAAGATCATACTGAAAGATGATCAAAGATCCATTGCTGTTCTGAGGAATGGCGTCATAATAGATATTTACCGCGCGCTTGCAAAAGAACTTCTGTTCCCGTGGCAATCCTAACAATCCCAAAAGTCAATGCAGAAGAATTTCATGGCCTTTATTTTCGGTTCAACAGGTTGATTCTCTCTAAAATTCTCTAGATGTGGTTGCGATTTCTCTTTTTTTTTTTTTGCTTGAGTTGGATAGGGACAATATTTTTCATAAACACAATGGGCACAAATGACGCCTGAAACGGTCTCCTAGAAACTACTTTCGCAGATTCTATCCGTTTAAGCTAAAAGTTTGCTGAATGTACTCCTAACAATCGTACGTTTTTTTTTTTTTTTTTTTTGGACATTTTCTTTCTTTCTTTCCTCGGCGGGGGTGGGGTTGGGGGGGGGGTTACACACGTGCGAATAGGTAACTACGTTGGTCAGTGGATGTCAAAATAATTATTAGAACTCAGGATAGTTGGGGAACGTTCTAAGCAGGTACTGTACCGAATTACAATTTTAAGCGGCCTTAGGTGTTGCATCTATTTTGATTAAAATTCAGTAATTTTTAATGTTTGTTACGGTGGAGTAGCCACGTTTTAATGATATGCCAACCTGCGAGACTACTTACCAACATTGCACAGTATTCGTGATTCTTACAAAGAGACCTCTTTGAAACGTGACATTTCGCTGACCGCATATCGTATGGGACTGAAAACTCTGTCCCCTTGGCCTCGCTCTGAAGATCGTTTGATGGCGGCTGCCATCTTCCGTGTAAATCTTCTCTTACAGCAGCAGAAAACACCTTTCAAAACCGGCGTGCCGGTTTGGACAGCTTCCTCCATCACTGCAATCATACAGTCTGATTCAGAACCTGTTGAATTATAATTTGGCGAAATTACACGTGCATCAACGTCCGTCGTGAGGGTGCCTGTTGAAGTGGGCTGTGTCAGATCAAGACATTGATATTGCAGAAGACGATTTTACAGCTATAACCTAAGATGCCGGCCGTAAAGGGAGAGGGAATGCGCGGCTTAGCCGTGTTTATTTCCGACATTAGAAACTGTAAGTGATTTGAGACATTTTAATGTTTCCAAATTGCCTCTGTTGAATGATTTTCGTGTCAGTTTCTGGCGTTTGACACGTGTGTGTGAGATTCGATTCAGCTGGGTTGTCCAGTGATCAACATTTGCCGCTTCAATTCATCACGGATATTTTGAATAGCTTCCTCACGATGTTCCAACACGTGTTTATTTTTGCTTCAGGTAAATCTAAAGAAGCTGAAATCAAGCGAATTAACAAGGAGCTTGCAAATATTAGAAACAAGTTCAAGGGTAAGTTTGTGTGCATTAATGCGAGTTGAAGTGCATATTATCCAAATTTATTCCACGAATAGCCAAATCCTCTCACTTACGTCTTCTAAAACTTACGCTTCGTCTCACCGCTCTTAATATGTCGCCTTTAATTTGATTTTCAAGGTGATAAGCAGTTAGACGGGTACCAAAAAAAGAAGTATGTCTGCAAGCTTCTGTTTATATTTCTACTGGGGCACGACATCGATTTTGGTCACATGGAAGCCGTAAATCTTCTCTCTTCGAACAAGTACACGGAAAAGCAAATTGTATGTATATATATATATATACCTGATGTATCATTTACCTTATTCATTTTCTTTTTATGAGCTCAAAACTGTCAAGTGTCTACTCCACAGTTTTGTCGAAAGAGACAAATTGATCCGGGATGGATAAGTTGTCATTAATTTGTGATCGAACGGTCGTCCCATTAGGTTAAACGTCAAACTTTGATTTCCTTAAAGTTACCATAAATCATGATATTTGTAAAGTTTAGGTAGGAAAACACTTTAGGGTTATTGCAGAGAAAATAAATTGTCAATCATTTTGAGTCTAGAAAAGCTTCACAGAATTAAATGTACTTTTTGATGTACATGTACCTACAGGAACTCTAACTGCAGGCTTAAATTCATTATCTCCCAGTATGCTGTGAAATTAGCCTGATTTTATAACTTGCAATCCCCATTTTGAAGAAGCTAATTGGATGATCTGAATTCATAAGTAAAGGCTGTTTGATTCTTTTCCTACCAATAACAAACCACTTTGAAAGGTTAAATGTTTTTTGTGTCTATTTCCATAATTGTTTATAATATTACTCCCTACAGGTGTATGTGCTTATTAGTGAATATTTCTGAGTGTTTGTCTTAACTCCTCTAAGGGGTGGTTGGGAATTTTCTTTTCATAGATTTTTGCCATCTTTGAGATCAATTTTTTTTATTTTAGCTTTAAAAAATTTGCCTTTTCTGGTTTCATGTTTTTTTGCAGGTTTCTTTCTTCTCCTCTTTTTTTTTTTGCTTTCAGTTTTCATCCAAGATAAAATCAGGTTTACGGATTTGCTATTCAATGTGGCTTTCATTCAAAAGGCAAAAAGAAATTAAACCAAATGAGAAGGGAGTAATTTTAGAATACCCTGTTCTACATAATGCATTAGCATATCTCATAGCATTTCTAGAACAAAGTATATGAAAACAAATGGATCCATTCTTATTCAGTTACATGGAAATGAGACAAAAATTGCCAGGTGTTCTATAATTTAGCCAAGAGAACTTTCTTAAATTCAAACCTCTCTGCACTAGCCACCTTGGGGACAGAACTTATAAGTTGCCATTATCACATGTTGTAGTGTAATATAAAACCCCTGGGGCCTTGTGACTCCAGAAATGTCTCTTGTCATCTCTGTATCAGGAAATGACATGTACCTCTTTATTTCTACAGACTAATTTTATTATATGAGGATTTTTGCTTACAACATTAGTGTTTCCTCTTGTTGTCTGCAGGGATATCTGTTTATTTCAGTCCTTGTAAGCGCAAACAGTGAGCTTATCAAGCTCATAATCCAAAGCATCAAGAACGACCTTTCCAGTCGTAATCCCATCAATGTCTGCCTGGCACTTCAGTGCATAGCAAATATTGGCAACGAGGAAATGGTGGAAGCTGTGGGCAAGGAAGTTCCTAAGCTGCTAGTTTCACCGGACACAAATGACAGTGTCAAGCAATGTGCAGCTCTCTGTGTTTTGAAGCTTTTCAAGTTGAAACATGACATCTTACCACCGGGAGAATGGACATCAAGGATAGTACAACTACTAAATGACAAGCATCTGGTGAGTTGTTTCTTTATAATATTAGGGTTTCTAGGAATGATTGGATAATTATGTAAGGCTTATTACTCTTAGACTAAAATCTATCCAGTTTACTAAGCATTAAAGTTTTGAGCAAAAACTATTTTTTCCCTCTTGAACAAAGATAGAGAGAATGTTGCCAGGGCAACTGGGAACTGTTAGAGCACAGCCTTGTATTCATGTACATTGAAGTTTCTAGAAAAATGAAAAGTTCAGAATTAATTAGGAGGAGGAAGAAACAATACTTTGAAGCTTTGTTGGTGTCACTGCAGGATATTTTTAGCTGTCAAAAACAACCTTTTCTAGTGAAATACTGTAAACAATGTCATGGGTCAGGTGGATCTTTTAAGTAACTTTCATGATGAAAGTTACTGGATGTGTACATTACAGACACAAAGGTTTGCCATTTGAGTTTGATTTTTAAAAGACTGGCATTACTTCAAAGTGTATGGGCCACGATATCACCAAAATTTATACAATATATATTATCTTGGTCCTCTCCTGAAGCATGTCTTTCTTTCTTTACCATTGAAGTCTCCTTGTACACTGATCATGTAGCTTTGAGTTGCTCAGAGTTACAGTTGTACAGTGTATCTGACTCAGATCAGGACCCTCCTCGACCTGTATAATTCCTCATATCACACGCGGCCTCATCCAATAATAGTAAAGTAATGTTTGGTCTTCTTTCTTCCTGGACAGGGCGTGGTAACTTCCGCTGCCAGCCTTATTCAAGGTGTTGTCCATATTTACGCTGAGGACTACAAAGGCTGTGTTCAGTTAGCTGTGTCAAGACTTAGCAGGGTATGAAATTTGCATAGATGTTGTAGTTCAGTTTGCTGGTATAATATTGTATGATAATGAGCTTGAAACAAAGAAAAATAAATTTTGAACTTACGATAAAATTTGACCACAACACGTAGAAGTCTGTTTTGTTACTCTACATGCATGTTTGCTTGATGTCAGTAGTGTCCTGATCATCAATAATTTACAGCAAAAAATGAGACCACCTCACAGTGGGCATTGTTGAAAAAGGTTAATAGTGGTTGTGGTAAAAAGCACATGTCGTGATGTGTACTGTACATTGATTTATTCAACTTACATTCAGCAGGCAGTTTTCATCAAACGATCATGTACTTGACAATGAGTAATAATATTATTGTTTTCAACAGATTGTGACATCATCCTATACAGATCTTCAAGATTACACATATTACTTTGTTCCTGCTCCATGGCTTTGTGTTAAGTTGCTTAAACTTTTACAGATGTATGGCGCCCCAGGTGAGATTTCCATCAGGATTGTTTTATATTTGTGACCTCACATGTGAAAACGTTCCTTATGGTTTACGGTTTTCGAAGGGATAGCCATTCATATGCTGTTTATTAGCCATTCAAACAAACTGGGTATCAGTTTGAACGGCTCAGGCTATCCATTTGAAAAAATTGTAATCTGTTCGAACAGCTCAGGCTATCCGTTCGAATGGCTCAGGCTACTGTATCTGTTTTTGCGCGAGAAGTCACATTTCTACTGTTCCTCATTATTAACCCTTTAATTCCCAAGAGTTATCCACATCAGTTTTCTCCTAATAATACCAATACATGATCAATAGGAAAGATTATGAGAATCAATGACATGATCACCTACATGAGCATGCTTTCATCTAAAGTTTTATCAAATTCTGTCAACTAATTATTTAAGAAAATGTATGGAGATCAGTTTAGAGAATTTGTAACTGGATATCAGGGCTTAAAGGGTTTAGTGAGGACCTGTTCGGGTAAAATTCTGACAAGTGACATGATCTTTAGACAGCGATGTAGGACAGCAGAAATGGTGGTAAATGACACAAAGATGGGTTGAATTGTGATAGCGACAGAGAAAAGCGCAAATACAATAGTAAAACACTGACAGCGACATGGCTTCCTCTTCAATACGCAAAATGACAGGTTGTGAAATTCCAACTGCAGACATACATAACCCCCCTAAGATGGCCTCAGCAGTGGCTATGTTGGTGTTCCAAACCTGTGAAATGGAGACTATGCCGGTGTACCTTGTTATGTGTAAACTTTCTTTTGTTACAAGAAATGTGCATAGCTGCTAACCATGTGATTAAAAATGTTTTATTGTAGACATCCAGGAATCTCCACTGACAAA